AACTCCTGCTTGTAATCGTTGAGCAGGGGCACATCAGGCCCCATGATGATGAACACAACACGGGAGGGACAGACTCAGTCATCTCCTCCCAGCTGCTGCGGAACACACACACATGTCCCGCTGACAGTGAGTCACTGGAAACACACACAAACGCATACAATTACCATATACATTCATATTTCATAGGCCATGATGGAGTAGCGGTTTATTGCATGTCTTTAAAGGGGTCATATGATGCGATTTCAATTTTTCCTTTCTCTTTGGAGTGTTACAAGCTCTTGGTGCATAAAGAAAATCTGTAAAGTTGCAAAGACTAAAGTCTCAAATCCAAAAAGATATTCTTTTTAAAAGTTAAGAGTCAACCACGCCTACCTAAAATGGCTCGTTCTAACACTCCCCCACATGTCTACGTCACTTTGTGGGAAGATTTGCATAACACCGCCCAAATGTTCACGCAAAGAAAGGCGGCATAACTTTTATTCTCACTGTAGTATTGTTGTTGCCGCCACTGCCATGTCGTGAAGGCGCTATGTGATTCATTGTGAAAGTGAAACTACTTTGTTTGGCCTTCCAAAAGAGGACTATATCCGCTGCGTCATGCCTAGAGCTGATCCGTGCTGGTCGCTGAGGAAATGCATCAACTTCGCGCTGTGGATCGCCGGATGGGAGAAGGCATCACAGTATGCTAAGGGGCGTAACATTTCCGTCACACGCTTGAGGTATTCAGCCAATCACAACACACTGGATAGCTGGCCAATCAGCGTACACCTCGCTTTGTAATCGACACCTTTCAGAAAGGCGGGGCATAGAGGAGCAACAATAATGTACAGTATGTGGAAAATAATGTGTTTTTTTAACCTTAAACCGCATAAACACATTGCATTACACCAAATACACAACATCATGTTCTTTTTAGCAACGTCATATGACCCCTTTAAAATTGAATGACCAGAATAATGTAGTATTTTCAATAATAATAATAATAATATCTTTATTTGGGAGTTTTTCCTCAGCAGATTTACATAATAATGCAATAATGCAAATAATTCAATTAATTAATCAGTATTTTATGTAATGAATCAATTTAAATTACGAATTAATTAAAAGTGCTAATATAAGTGTATACACAATACTAAATATACTATATTTATTGTATAATAGTTTATATAATTTCATAATTATATTAATTATAGCTATTGTTTTATAATATATACATTATATAATTATAATATATACATTACGTATATTTCAGAAATATATAAATGTATTCATATTTCTCCTCTTTATTTAACATTAGAGATGAGTGGGCAGTGTTACTTGCCAAGCAATTGTTTTAAAGTTAGACTATTGGAAAGAATATAACCTCCAAAATAAGTGTTTATTACACATTAACTATTTTGTCTGGAATTGTTTATCTTAATTACAATAAATATCTTTATAGGGCGTTTTCTCAAAAATATTATTTTCTCATGCACTGAGCCAGAAATCTCTACTTACATAAAACTTTACAGTTTTATTCCTACCTATGTTCTGAAGTTTCTTACAGAGCGGTTTGCTCATATATCAGTCAACTGATTTATGTAACATTTCATTCCTTAAAAGTTGGCGACGGTTTTTTTTCTGGCTGTTGACAGAATTTTCTGATTTATGGAATGATAAAAATAGAAATATCCAAAATCCCCTCTGTAAAAACATTTAACTCTAATATGCCAACAAAATGAAACAAGAAATTTGAACCTGCGTTTATCCTATGTCTGAAATGTAGGAAATTTAGTGTATATTTAAATTGAATGCATAATTTGCATATTGAAACACAACAATTCAGTAAAATACAAAAAAAGTCTTGTGATAAATCAATTGGGGAAGTACCCTGATGGTATCAGTTACCATTTTAATTTTTTTACATATTCACCTGGTAAAAAAAACAACCTCTGTGTATTTTTACACATTTGATTCCCAGTTGACCTGTTTGTTGATCTTACCCGAGCAAAATAAGCAGAGATGATTATTGCCAAAATAAACATACAGCATAAACACACGAGGAAATGTGGAGTCAATCAGCATCAAACCAGAGACTTCGAATTGTGTGCTCTTAGCTTTTGATTTGTGGCTATAATCCTCAGATTTAAGTTTTTAATGCAGTCTTGTTGATTTGTATCCTGTGATCTGTTCACATGCTAACACTGCATTTATGACAACAAGAGACAAACATGAACGTGACAATAGGTTTACAGACCATTACAATAACCAAACACAAAGCTCTTATATCATATTACATTATAATATCGTCTTGGTTTCCTCCAAACAGCCGATAAAGAAGAGAAGCGAGAAAGCGGCTATTAACTGGTTAGCGCGGCTAGCGTTAGCAAGCTCGTTTTATTTTTCCACATGGCAAAAAAAATGTAATAGAAACACCCTTTTCTTTTTTTAAACATCACATACCTTTAAATGAGAACGAATGAGAGAGGTGCTGGAAGGGTGGGTAGAGGGTCTGTGTCGTGATAAAACGAACCCGTTATCCATCATCGCTTCTGCTGATGCTGCAGTTGGGCAACACGGCCTGAAGGGCGGTGTGTTGATCTAACGTTACATCTATTTTCCCTCACAGAATTAGCCATGGAAATATAAAATATCAAAACTGCAAATGGTATGTTGGCATAACTATTAAGAAGGTTATTCTTGTTATGCATTAGGCTACCTTTGGAAAAAAATAATATGCATGTGTTGTAATTTAAAGAGGTATTACTATTGCAAAATATGCTCAAGCTGTGGCATTTAGATTTGATTATTTGCACAATGGAAAGAATATTAACTATTTAATAAAAAAAAATGAAAAAGCACTTTTAATAGGTCTTGATCATTTTAGAACTTGCAACAAAAATAACAACATTTAAATCAAGGCAGTGAAATTAATTAAATTAACCCCATTCTCACTTAAATGTAAAGATTATGATAAAAGAAAAGTAACTAATATGATTTCCACATTTTTTCTATAGATTATTTTATTATATATTATAGGCTATAATTAGACATGGGTAAAGGATAATATAAACCAAATCAAATCAGACACTGGATTTCTCAAAGCAACTAACATTTATTTATTTGTTTGTTTGGCAAAATTAAATGAAACTACACATTTCTACACATCTGCTAGTATAGGAAAAGTAGAAGATTTGAAAAATGTACAATGTTTAGGGCAAAGAAGAAAGCATTTGAATAAAGCATATGGAAAAGTGAGCTAAAATTAATTAATTTAATAATGAACTATTGGCAAGTCTGACACACATCCCTGCATGAGACCAATAGCAAGACACATCAAGCGATCAAGAGGAATGTTCCTGCTGCTCAGACGTATCTCCGTATTCCTTTAAACAGTGCTTGGACAACACACTGTACTCTGTGTTATTTCCACAGCAGGTCCTCCATTAAATTCAACAGCATTCACTCTGACCTTCCTTTCTCATTTTCTCCACATTTTAATTTTATTCTGTCAGATTTGGTTCCCTCTCTGTGTCTCTCTTCTTTTGCAACCCCCCACCATTATACTCCAGAGGAAAACAGGAAGAGAATTACCTTGAGCTGTGATAACAGGTTTTTCTGAACACATTATGTGTGTAATTTTCTTTGAATTTCTCCAGACATTGTTTTTTCAGCTGTGCTGCTTAACTGCCCTCATAATACAGCCCACTGAAAAGAAACACATCAGTCTAAAACCTCTGCTCTCTTTTCAGTGTCACAGACTGACACAAATCACTGTTTGCCATAGCTGTATCGAGAACTATTCCATCCCAGAGTGGGCTTTTATTTCTTAGAGAAAAGTTGATGGCAAAACTCTGAACTGTGTGAGATGAGTTTGTCATAAAAAGATAAACAGACACAAAAGTGAAAAGCTGGCAATAGTTGATAGTATGTATGTGTGAGTATTATAAATTAGCAGGAAATGGTTTTCATCAGTGATCAAGTACAAATGTACAAATGACATTATTCTATACAAAATAAGATTATTATTACTATTATTATGCTTGCGTACAATTATGTACAGATTGTATTATACCATAAAATAACAACAATAACAAAACTAATAATTCCTATTATTCTCTATAGAATAATATTAATACTAATAATATAAATGTACTATTATGCTTGTGTACAAGTATACAGATTATATTATATTATAAAATAATAATATAAATGATTATGCTTGTGTACAAGTAGATTGTATTTTTTAAGATAATAATAATAATAATAAAACAAATTATTATTATTATTAAAGTAACATTGATAAGTATTCTATTCTATTCTATTTCATCTATATAGCACACCTGTACATACATTCTTTGTCTATTTTTGTTTATTTATATATATATATATATATACATATGTATATTTTATTCACATATCTTTATTTTTTATTATCTGTGTGTTGTTGATGTCTCTGTGTACTGGAAGCTTCTGTCACCAAAATAAATTCCTTGTATGTGCAAAAATACTTGGCAATAAAGCTCTTTCTGATTCTAATTCTCAAATATTAAAATTTTATTTTTTTAGTACTGTAATATTTTATATGTGCTACTAAGTTCCAATTAGTTCCACTGAGGCTAAGAATCAGTTAAAGACCAAACCAGCCCTCTGGGATCCCTCAATGGACAAGTTTTGCAACTACAGTTTTCAAGAAAAATGTTTTTGACAAATGTTTTTTCATGAACTTTTATATTTGAAATTACTTCATAACTATCAAATACATTATAAATAAAACAAAACCAAACCTCACGGAGAGTGAAAATGTTACATGTACAATGACTTAAGATAAAGGACACCGCTCTTGAATTGTTGAATAGACTTGAATAGAAAATATACATTTAATATCTTTGATATTGACACAATTTCAAATAAATAAACAAATTGTCAATTTAAGTCCTATTTAAAATCCAAAGATGAACAACAACACGCAAAACCAAAGCTAAAATACATGACACACACAGTGTGTCTATGACTCTGCGTTACAGAGGAGGAGGAGGAGGAGGAGGAGGAGGTCTGGGTACACTGTGACACTGGTACCTGTGGAGAATATCAAGATTACCCCTTGTGCTGTGCTGAAAATCCAACCATTTAAAAATTGCTTGTAAATCGTAAAACTGTAAATTATGCTATATTATCACCAAACCTTGGATTCAATCGTTTTGTGTTTCTTTTTGGAACTGCCTGGTCATAGACCTCATTGATTGGAGCTTATGCATCTCAGTTTTTGAGTGAAAAAGCATTTTCCATATTTTTGGATAATTTTAGCAATATTCACTTAAAATCTGAGGTGCATAAGCTCAGATCAATGAGGCATAGGACCAATCAGTTCCAAAATGATTTAATTTTGATTTAATATTAATTTGATACTAATTAGTATTTTCAGGAAAAGAAAATCCTTTCCAGGTCAAATGACAAGAACACAACATGAGGGTTAATACACCCTCTTACGCTTCAACATCACATTAAGATCTATACTGTATGTGTATATATGTGTGTATGTGTGTGTGTGTGTGTGTGTGTGTGTGTACAAACCCGGTCTCAGGATCAGTGTTAGGGAAAGTGGAGAGAACTCTATATCCGGTCTGCTGCAGCGCTGTCATGTAGTGGCTGGAAGATCCTCTTATCTGCCTGAAGTTGATGTAACTCTGAACTCCACGCAAGAGAGAGACAACTGTCTTCTGCTTCTTATCTAAAAACACACATGAAAATTGTACATGATGTGCATTTGTGTTTAATATACACATTCGGTGTGTGTCTGTACTGTATGTATACATACATCTGCTGGTATCATGTGTGTCTTCTTGCTGATCAGGTACGAGAGTGTGTATGCCTGTACCTCTTAAAGAATACTAATTAGTATTTTCAGGAAAAGAAAATCCTTTCCAGGTCAAATGACAAGAACACAACATGAGGGTTAATACACCCTCTTACGCTTCAACATCACATTAAGATCTATACTCTATGTGTATATATGTGTGTGTGTGTGTGTGTGTGTGTGTGTGTACAAACCCGGTCTCAGGATCAGTGTTAGGGAAAGTGGAGAGAACTCTATATCCGGTCTGCTGCAGCGCTGTCATGTAGTGGCTGGAAGATCCTTTTATCTGCCTGAAGTTGATGTAACTCTGAACTCCACGCAAGAGAGAGACAACTGTCTTCTGCTTCTTATCTAAAAACACACATGAAAATTGTACATGATGTGCATTTGTGTTTAATATACACATTCGGTGTGTGTCTGTACTGTATGTATACATACATCTGCTGGTATCATGTGTGTCTTCTTGCTGATCAGGTACGAGAGTGTGTATGCCTGTACCTCTTAAAGGAGCTGGTCGGGCCACCAATGGTACCAAACCGGGTAAAGTCATTTCACCACCTGAACTAGAACCCTACACACATGCACAAGGTAATTGTCTCTGCAGTATAATTCTATCTGATCTGTTCATTCGATCTGGATATTAAGCGTGAGCTACCTGTGCTTCATTATTTAAAAGCTCTGCTCTAGTTCTTTCTTCCAGGGTGACTGTCATGCCATCCAGAACCTGCAGTGTAGACAAATGCAGTACCACTGCTGGCCTGTGCAGTGATCGCCGTGCCACCTGCAACACACACGCTTGGTATGTCGTAGTGCAGAATATGTCTAATTAAAAGGATATTCAGCCAGGTAAAGAGGACAGAACATACTGTATTTATTCAGAACCAGAGAAGCCATGATGTGTTATACTGTGTGTGTGTGTAAGGATTTGTCTGTAATCATGGTTAGTTTGCAGTTCAGCCAAGAGTTCAGTTTGAAATCTCTTCATCTTGTTTGTGTGTGTGTGTGTGAGACTCACTGGGTTGCCCATTACAGACAGTTCTATAAGAGAAGGAAGCACCTCCAATTTCTCCAACTCTAAAATGTCCTGTAACATAAACAAAAGACACATTAGGCCATAAATACACTTTGATATACATATAAGGCATCTAGACACTTACAAAACACATTGACTATTATATGCTTTTATATATATATATATATATTTTTTTTTTTAAATATAATTAATTTTTACATACACAAAAGTTTGGGTAGTAGGATTTTTTGTATTGTTTTTGAAGTAAGTATCTCGCGCTCACTAAGGCTGCATTTATTAGATCAAAAATACAGTAAAAACATTAATATTCTGAAATATTATAACAATTTAATTGTTCACTATTTTAATACATTTTAAAATGTAATTTATTCTTGTGATGATAAAGCTGAATTTTTTGCAGCCATTACTTCAATCTTTGGTGAAGAAACATTTCATAATATTATAAATGTTGAAAAAAGTTGTGCTACCTAATCATTTTCTGGAAACCATGATACTTTTATTTTCAGTATTGTTTGATGAAATGAATATTAAAAAGAAAGTATTTATTCGAAATAGAAATCTTTTGTAACAATATATAAATCCTGTGAATTTTAGAGAAAGTCAAATGGAATATTGCACAGTCATTATATCATTATATTCATTATTCATATAATGATGAATGTAAACATTTTATATTTATTAAATTTGATTTATTGGTTTATTTTGAAATATGTGGACATCTTTTATTACTTTTTGCTTGATGGTTACCCCACTCAGTATTTTAGTATTTTAGTAATTAGTATTTTATTTGTCATTAAATCTTTTTTTCTTTAATGTATAAAACCAACATGAATTCAAAAATTACATTTCTAAAAATGTGGCACATGCATTTTTAAACTAGAATTTAAAAAGATTTAAATAAACAGGCATATGAGGAGGAGAATAAACAATGAAAAAAAATAGGATTAGGAAATGCGCAGGACACAAGAAACATCAACTTAAAGGTTTTTGTGATTTCCACAGAGATAAAGGAATGAGGAGGTAAATCAAAAAAGATCAGTGAGTTTCAAGAACACACACACACACACACACACCTCTGACCTTCAATCAATGTAAATACTGCTTAATTGTCCCCTTGTGCTACAGTGCTGGTGCAGTAATGGCTGTCTGTAATTACTTTATATTCAGGGGCAGGCAAAAGGCAGAGCTCTCACAGGGCCACAACCCTAATACAAACACACTAAGTGACTGAATTACTGTAATTTAGTAATTACAGAAAAACTGCAGCTACACACATACAGATGAGAATGGAGAAGTGAATAATGAAAGCAAGCCTCAAGCACTCAAACTTGCACACAAAACCAACATTAATTCAAAAATAAAATTTCTAAAAATGTGGCACATGCATTTTTAAACTAGATTTTAAAAAGATTTAAATAAACAGGCATATGAGGAGGAGAATAAACAATGAAAAAAAATAGGATTAGGAAATGCGCAGGACACAAGAAACATCAACTTAAAGGTTTTTGTGATTTCCACAGAGATAAAGGAATGAGGAGGTAAATCAAAAAAGATCAGTGAGTCTCAAGAACACACACACACACACACACACACACACCTCTGACCTTCAATCAATGTAAATACTGCTTAATTGTCCCCTTGTGCTACAGTGCTGGTGCAGTAATGGCTGTCTGTAATTACTTTATATTCAGGGGCAGGCAAAAGGCAGAGCTCTCACAGGGCCACAACCCTAATACAAACACACTAAGTGACTGAATTACTGTAATTTAGTAATTACAGAAAAACTGCAGCTACACACATACAGATGAGAATGGAGAAGTGAATAATGAAAGCAAGCCTCAAGCACTCAAACTTGCACACACACACACTCATCTGGGTTTAGAGTAACATTGTTCCTAAGTTTCTTGGTAGATACTATGCTGCTAATAAAATCATGTGTAACTCTAACCTACAACACTTAAATTATATGGCAATGTATACCTATCATAAGATTAACTATATCTGACAGACCATCCTGTCTAACTAATGAATGTGAACCAAACTGTTTGACTCATGACTCAAATACCAAATGTTAAATTAAATTATAAATTAAACTGATAGTTCGCTGCTTTTTCCAGCATATAACAAATTATAGTCTGTTTCCCACAAGAAGCTTGGAAAAGTCACAGTTTTTTTCCTTAGTGGAGCTTTACAGTCAAAGATGAAACTTTGTATACATGTTTACTGTGTTTTAGGTAGGTTGTTGTGTATTTTGTGTAGGTTTTATTGTGTACCTGCATTTTGTTCATGTCTAAGAACAGTCTCCGGAGCTCAGTGAGAGGCAGAAGGTGGTTCAGTTCACGGATGCGATTCTCTGCCAAGTGCAAATCCAGCAGAACTCTCTGTCCACAGAATGAGTTCTCACTCAAAGATTTAATTCGATTTCGATCCAGAACCAACTCACGCAGTCTCCGCAAACCATCCAGTCCATCTACCTGACTGATATCATTCCCTTAGGAAAAGAGAGAAGGCGCTTAGAGAAGATCTCATTAAAGAATATACAGCATATACACACCATTGTTCAAATGTTTGTGTTCAGTAAGATTTTTTTATGTTTTTGAAAGAAGTTTCTTATTTTCACCCAGGCTGCATTTATTTGATCAAAAACAGTAATATTGGGAAATATTATTACAATTTAAAATAACTTTTTTATTGTAATATATTTTAAAATGTAATTTATTCCTGTGATGCAAAGCTGATTTTTCAGCATCCATTATTCCAGTCTTCAGTGTCACAAAGTCATTCAGAAATCATTCTAATATGCTGATTTGCTGCTCAAGAAACATTTTATAATACTATCAGTGTTGAAAACAGTTGTGCTGCTTGATATTTTTGTGAAAAGGGTTACAGTTTTTTCAGGATTCTTTAATGAACACAACATTCAAATGAACAGCATTTATTTGAAATATTTCCTGTATATTTCATTGAGGATATGTTTGCAGACAGTGATGAATAGCTCTACAAGAGAGGTTGTACATACCTTGTAGGAACAGTGCTCTGAGGTTAGTCAGTCGGCTGATCTGTAGATTGATCAGGTTGGATATACCATTATAACCTAAATGCAAAACCTCCAAACTGGACATCAGAGGCTCCAGATTATCAGTTGGTCCCTCCCTACAAACAAAGTGAAGGAAGGGAGGACAAGGAACATTTTGAAAGAAAGTGAGAAGAAACAAATGAGAGGCACATGTAGAGGTGTGTGTGTCATTCAGAAAAGTACAGTTTACTGCATTAATACTGTATGCGGTATAGACACTTTGTTAATAAACGTGGCAGTCACTCCCAAAACTTAGCAGCCTCTGAAGCTGTGAGTCCTTCTCTGCTTATAAACACAGTCACTGCTGTCTGGGAATCTCTTATTATATGTAATTGTGATGCTCTCTTGTGGTTGAACAAGAGACTACAGTATATCACCACAATAGATTATGAGAGTGATGTTGTGTGTGTGTGTGTTTACCTGCTGGGCCTGCTGTTTTGCTGCCCATATCCACTGGAACTGACTTTATGATAGAGAATCTGCTTGTTGCTCATGTGATTCTGAACTTTTTGACGTGGCAGAATTGACTCAATGTGGTTATAGTTCAGAGACAACACCTGAAAGAACACATGCATAAACAAAAACATACATACTGTAGACACACAGTGGCTAATAGTATATAATGTTAGTATACATAGCCAGTAACATAGACAAAGACATAAGTGATGTATTTACATTCTGTCGTAAACATATAAATACCTTAATGTTGGGCAGGAAGATGAGACCGCTGAATGAGGTGAGGTTATTGTGTTCTAGATTAATACTGCGTAAATTACTGAACAAATCACTCAAGCACTCAAACTTGCACACACACACACTCATCTGGGTTTAGAGTAACATTGTTCCTAAGTTTCTTGGTAGATACTATGCTGCTAATAAAATCATGTGTAACTCTAACCTACAACACTTAAATTATATGGCAATGTATACCTATCATAAGATTAACTATATCTGACAGACCATCCTGTCTAACTAATGAATGTGAACCAAACTGTTTGACTCATGACTCAAATACCAAATGTTAAATTAAATTATAAATTAAACTGATAGTTCGCTGCTTTTTCCAGCATATAACAAATTATAGTCTGTTTCCCACAAGAAGCTTGGAAAAGTCACAGTTTTTTTCCTTAGTGGAGCTTTACAGTCAAAGATGAAACTTTGTATACATGTTTACTGTGTTTTAGGTAGGTTGTTGTGTATTTTGTGTAGGTTTTATTGTGTACCTGCATTTTGTTCATGTCTAAGAACAGTCTCCGGAGCTCAGTGAGAGGCAGAAGGTGGTTCAGTTCACGGATGCGATTCTCTGCCAAGTGCAAATCCAGCAGAACTCTCTGTCCACAGAATGAGTTCTCACTCAAAGATTTAATTCGATTTCGATCCAGAACCAACTCACGCAGTCTCCGCAAACCATCCAGTCCATCTACCTGACTGATATCATTCCCTTAGGAAAAGAGAGAAGGCGCTTAGAGAAGATCTCATTAAAGAATATACAGCATATACACACCATTGTTCAAATGTTTGTGTTCAGTAAGATTTTTTTATGTTTTTGAAAGAAGTTTCTTATTTTCACCCAGGCTGCATTTATTTGATCAAAAACAGTAATATTGGGAAATATTATTACAATTTAAAATAACTTTTTTATTGTAATATATTTTAAAATGTAATTTATTCCTGTGATGCAAAGCTGATTTTTCAGCATCCATTATTCCAGTCTTCAGTGTCACAAAGTCATTCAGAAATCATTCTAATATGCTGATTTGCTGCTCAAGAAACATTTTATAATACTATCAGTGTTGAAAACAGTTGTGCTGCTTGATATTTTTGTGAAAAGGGTTACAGTTTTTTCAGGATTCTTTAATGAACACAACATTCAAATGAACAGCATTTATTTGAAATATTTCCTGTATATTTCATTGAGGATATGTTTGCAGACAGTGATGAATAGCTCTACAAGAGAGGTTGTACATACCTTGTAGGAACAGTGCTCTGAGGTTAGTCAGTCGGCTGATCTGTAGATTGATCAGGTTGGATATACCATTATAACCTAAATGCAAAACCTCCAAACTGGACATCAGAGGCTCCAGATTATCAGTTGGTCCCTCCCTACAAACAAAGTGAAGGAAGGGAGGACAAGGAACATTTTGAAAGAAAGTGAGAAGAAACAAATGAGAGGCACATGTAGAGGTGTGTGTGTCATTCAGAAAAGTACAGTTTACTGCATTAATACTGTATGCGGTATAGACACTTTGTTAATAAACGTGGCAGTCACTCCCAAAACTTAGCAGCCTCTGAAGCTGTGAGTCCTTCTCTGCTTATAAACACAGTCACTGCTGTCTGGGAATCTCTTATTATATGTAATTGTGATGCTCTCTTGTGGTTGAACAAGAGACTACAGTATATCACCACAATAGATTATGAGAGTGATGTTGTGTGTGTGTGTGTTTACCTGCTGGGCCTGCTGTTTTGCTGCCCATATCCACTGGAACTGACTTTATGATAGAGAATCTGCTTGTTGCTCATGTGATTCTGAACTTTTTGACGTGGCAGAATTGACTCAATGTGGTTATAGTTCAGAGACAACACCTGAAAGAACACATGCATAAACAAAAACATACATACTGTAGACACACAGTGGCTAATAGTATATAATGTTAGTATACATAGCCAGTAACATAGACAAAGACATAAGTGATGTATTTACATTCTGTCGTAAACATATAAATACCTTAATGTTGGGCAGGAAGATGAGACCGCTGAATGAGGTGAGGTTATTGTGTTCTAGATTAATACTGCGTAAATTACTGAACAAATCAGCAGGAGCAAGATCCACCATCCTAAAACACACAGGAAAACAGAAATCATAAAGTGTGAAGCAACATATCCAGTTCTGTTGTGTTGGTTCAATTTTGACTGTAGGATTGTAGAAAGAGTTCATGTGAACCTGACTGAGCTGGACTGCAGGTTGAGCTCTGACAGGTCTCTGTAGTTGGTATGGCCCAGCTTCTCAGCCACCATATCTGCATTGAGCCGCCCTCCAAACACGTCTTTAGCAGTTTCTGATTCACACGTTTCCTAAAGATCACAGACACATTTGTGTGTGTGTTTTTTTTCACCTTAAATCACCCAAATGGTTCACACAAAAATGTAAATTCCAGCAACAGTCAACCTCACGGCAGCCTCCATTCCCTTTCACTTTCATTGCATAGAAAAGAGCAGCTTAGACATTCTGCAAAATGTCGAATGAAGACCAGTAATGTGCATTAAAAGAGTATATAGGGTCAGTTTTGACTTTTGACAATTTCGTCATGCTGCCTTTAAAGGTTAGTAATGATGTCATATTGAGAAGATGGAATAAGAAGGAATTATGAATGAATAGAATGATCTCCTCACCATGTGTGAAATATCATCCAAATGAGTGAACTCATTGAAGCTGAGGGTCAGATGCTTTAGAGCCGTTAGTCGAGAAATCTCAGGCAGTTTATTCAGACTGTTGCCATGTAGATTCAGTACCTGTACGACAGGAAATACGTCAATGAAATGATCACAATCTCACTAACTGACTTACATACTACAGAGATACGGGTTTGTGGGTATTGGAAGTCTCACTGTGATCTGACTGAGGACATTTGCTCTGGCCACTGTCAGAATAGATTGATCATCTATGCTGAGCAGCTTGGGGTGAGGCTTCAGGATGGGTTCCATTTTTAATGCCTCCTCATCCAGGTCCAGCTCAGCAAGAGACACAGATGGGGCATCAGCGGGGGATGTATGAGAACTGGACGGGAAGTCTGGAGAGGGCTGGGATGTGTCCTAGAGAAAGATGCCATAAGATAAAGATGGTTTGATTACTATTTTCTGGTATGAAATTAATAGGATGGTGTAAATGTGTGAGTGTATACTGTTAAACACATATACCTTTGTTACATATTCAAAGTCTACAAGGTACTCTGGCAGGACCATTTCATGGTCAAACATGTACCACAGTTTCTGCTGCTGTCTACAGTCACAGCTGTCTGGCAGGCTGGAGAGACCCAGCAAGTCTGACGAACAAAAACACACATATACACACACATTGCTGCTTTGATCACCACTGCCCTGAAGACATTTTTCTCTGATGGGTTCACATATTTCAACTCACCAGGGGCTGTTTGTGCTGTGAGTTTTTGCCCTTTAGAGCAGGTACTGAGGTAGACAGAGTTCGCTTTAGGGTAATGATCACAGTCTATTAGGAGACCTTCCTTTGCTGCAGCACTGCGGCCCAGGAACACTTTAGAAATGATCAACTGACCTAAAACAATACACAATATACACAATATATATACATAATACACAAATGCATGAAAGCAAATTATTGAGATATTCATAATGTATGTACACTACTGCTCAGTTTATGGGCAGCATGTTTTTTAAAGAGAAAATTATCGTTTTAATTCAGCATGGATGCATTAAATTGATTTATAACATTACACAGGATATCTGTTTCAAGTAAATGCTGTTATTTTGTGCTTTGTATTCATAAAAAAACATCTTTAAAAACTATCAAGAACGTTTTCATCATTGATAATAATAAGAAATATTTCTTGAGCACCACATCCTCATATTAGTATAATTTCTGCAGGATCATGTGATACTGAAGACTGGAGTAATGACTGCTAAAAATTCTGCTTTGCCATCACAGGAATAAATTACATTTCAAAAAATATTTTAATAGAAAACAGTTATTTTAAATTGTAAATAATAATATGAAATAATATTTCACAACATTATTGTTTTTACTGTATTTTTGATCATACTGTATTTTAAGCATTATTTTTTTTTAAATGTAAAAGATCTTACTGACCCCAAACTTTTATTTTTGTAATATTGTTTGGTGCCAGAAGTAGCACAGAAATGACAGACAGCACCTTCAAATTAATCTAATTTAAAGGTTCTGAGTGAATCCAGACCATGTCTGAAGGGAAGACGGTCTACAGGGTTACTTCCTGATGTTGAGCAACTCTTCTTCTGCATAAATGTCAATCGCAGTCGATCAGACACACTCACACTGTTAGTGAGGGGGATGGCTCTCTCTCTGCCTAACGCCTGAAGGAAAGAAACACATGTTCAAGATGATGGATCCATTTAAAAACAACAGAAATTCATAACCAGTCCTCACCGGGCTTTGATGGGTTGTGTACCTTATATGCATTAGCGGTTTTAAAACCATTTTCTAGGGTTTGTAGTATCTCATCGCTTTCACAGGAATGTTCTGGATCGGGCACGTAGAACAGATACTCCATGCAACATTTATAGTTCCTGTCACACACACGCACACACACACACACACACACACACACACACATCTCATGATCTTAAACATTTATATGAACTATGAATATGGATTATTGATTCATGAATATAAAAGTAAGACTATCAAACAGTATCTATTTTGAATCAGCCATTTTTTTTCTTGAAGAGACACAGTGAGCATCTGGCTGACTCACTGTGAGTAAGGTGAAGGTTCCTGTCTGCATAGCAGAGAGTGTACTTTGTCCTGGAAGCGTTGCCGCAGGGCTCGGTTATGGATACGGATGATTCGATTGATTTTAATGCCAGTGATGTGGTGAGGTTTATAATCCCACGCACAGAAACGAGACAGCAAGAGATCGTAACATGACGTGAACCTGAGAAAGGAAGCAGAGAACAGTACAGATCAGTAATCCTGCATGTTGTGTTCTGTACAACTGATCTTGCATGCATACATGTAGTACCAAGGTTCGCCAGTGTTTCCCTCCTCATGATCTTAAACATTTATATGAACTATGACTATGGATTATTGATTCATGAATATAAAAGTAAGACTATCAAACAGTATCTATTTTGAATCAGCCATTTTTTTTCTTGAAGAGACACAGTGAGCATCTGGCTGACTCACTGTGAGTAAGGTGAAGGTTCCTGTCTGCATAGCAGAGAGTGTACTTTGTCCTGGAAGCGTTGCCGCAGGGCTCGGTTATGGATACGGATGATTCGATTGATTTTAATGCCAGTGATGTGGTGAGGTTTATAATCCCACGCACAGAAACGAGACAGCAAGAGATCGTAACATGACGTGAACCTGAGAAAGGAAGCAGAGAACAGTACAGATCAGTAATCCTGCATGTTGTGTTCTGTACAACTGATCTTGCATGCATACATGTAGTACCAAGGTTCGCCAGTGTTTCCCTCCTCAAAGCGAATGTTCCCCACGGTTTCCAGCTCCAACAGCAAAAAGTGCACCGTAATATCCCTTCTATCTGAGGCCAAGGCCACATTATGTTGGTGAAATGCTTCTACCCTGTGAAAAAAACAAAACAAAACAAAGAAATGTAAGACCTGACAATAATCATGCACACAGGTTTACATAAGATGTATATAAAATAAAAAAAGGTTTATATAAAATTCACACTCACTCCTCCAGGTGCCGCTTCCAGAACTTCAGTCGGTCTTTAAGAGCATTCAGTTTGTGCTGCAGTCTCTGCTCATTGCTGTGGTCATTACGAAGGTCAGAGGTCAAGTCTTCAGGATCTCTCTTACCAGCAGACTGTACATGGGACAGCTCACATTCCACCTGCTCACAGAGGGTCAGTGTATTTTAGGGTACAAACAAACTATAGTTTGGGGACAAATTTGAGGATGACTTAATTTAATAATAATATTTTTATTATTATTATTTCTGAAAATGAGGGGTATCAGTACCATACTGGTTATCATCCAGTATTAGTTTTTTTATTTTATGGATATTTAAGAGTGCATGCTAATTTCCTCTATTTTACATGTAGTTCTTTCCAATATCTAATGATCACGTAAAGTTCGTCTTTAAAAAAAAACAACAACAACAATAATTTAATAACACTGTCAAATGTAATATTTAGCAAATTTCATTTTTATATTGTACATTATAATGCTGTGATGGCTAAATTCACTTCACATTTAAAACAACTGGCTTTAGTTTGCAGTATTTTATTTTTATTTTATTAAAAATATTTTTTTCTTATATTTTAACACATAATTAATTCACACACACACACACACACACACACACACACACATCATTTTACATTATTTTAAAGTCAGCCATTTATCAGTTATCGGCTATAACAACAATAAATTTAAGCTTATCAATATCAGAAATTTTATATGGGTGCATTCCTACTAAATATGTTAGGAATGGATTTAGAAAAAAAGTGATACTCTAAATATACCATATTGTGGCAAAAAAAAAAACCTGTGTGCATCCTGTATATACTCACATTTCTAAACACACGTGTTAGCACTCGAATTCTCTCCTCTGGTAGTTGTATCTGGTCTCTCCTCTGCTGCCTGAACTTGGCTTTAAGGTCATCAAACTGTCTTAGCGCACAACGTTCCCGCATGGTGTAATACATCATTTTCTTCAGCACTGTAGACTGATGCACAACAACATGTTCCCATCATTCTTAAACACAAAAGACAGACTCTCAGTTGAAATAGAGATTCTCTCACCTCTGCAGTGTCTTTGAGATGTTTGCTGGATATGTCATATGTGTCCAGGCGTTGAAGGTGTGGCATGTGATATAGGACGTGTATGTAGTAATTATAGAGCAGACACAGCGGGTTTGGAATGGACTGAGGGTCCTTCAGACTCAGGTGTCTTAGTCGGGGCAGCCGAGCCAGATGGGTCAGTTCCTATAAGGAAAACAGTGGTCGTACAGATTTTACATAGTTTTTTTCTTTCAGGGATCAGGACTATTCAGGAATATGAATTCACTTTTTGCAAAAAATAAATAAATAAATCTGCAATGATTGTGACATAGATTGTGTATCTATGGTATATTAATTTATGCTATAAAATACTGTTTGTTATTGATATTTTGATTTTAATATTTTGTTATTTTTGCAACATCAGGAAATAACTTCCACCTACACAAATGAAACATTTTGCTGCGACATTAAATGGAAGTGCATTAGTTTCCCATTAGAGAAAAGAACCTCACATGAGCCTGAAGCCCACAGATGAACAGCACAAAAAGCACCATACAAACACCTCTCAGTGTCATGAAACTGTGTGTGTTAGACAGAAAGAGAAGTGAAGGACCGTCAGACACAAAGAGCCGAAGCGAGACAGAGGAGCTTTCAATCACTCGACTCACACAAAATAACAAAGGCTCCCATTTAGAGATGTGCACCCCATTCAGGAGCCACACCACTTGAAAATGAAAATATTTATTCTTGTTATTGAAAAAGTATCTCTTTTTCCTTTCGAAAAAAGAGAGACAGATGAAAACCATTTGGACAGAGATGCCACATTACGATAATGATAAGAAGTGAAAAGCAAAAACCTGAATCGTGCAATTCCTGAAATGATCAGGTCTCTCTGGGGAGTTGAGAAAATACAGAGTATACACAGAAATAACAGTAATCAGATCTATAGTGAGCAGGAGAGGGAGGATGCAATAATGACATGTAGATACAGGCCTGCAGTAATAACGGTGTGAAGGCCAGAAGGAAATTATTACCTAGTAATCTCGGACACAAACAAACAAAATGGGCCCATTAGAGAAAAGAACCTCACATGAGCCTGAAGCCCACAGATGAACAGCACAAAAAGCACCATACAAACACCTCTCAGTGTCATGAAACTGTGTGTGTTAGACAGAAAGAGAAGTGAAGGAGCGTCAGACACAAAGAGCCGAAGCGAGACAGAGGAGCTTTCAATCACTCGACTCACACAAAATAACAAAGGCTCCCATTTAGAGATGTGCACCCCATTCAGGAGCCACACCACTTGAAAATGAAAATATTTATTCTTTTTATTGAAAAAGTATCTCTTTTTCCTTTCGAAAAAAGAGAGACAGATGAAAACTATTTGGACAGAGATGCCACATTACGATAATGATAAGAAGTGAAAAGCAAAAACCTGAATCGTGCAATTCCTGAAATGATCAGGTCTCTCTGGGGAGTTGAGAAAATACAGAGTATACACAGAAATAACAGTAATCAGATCTATAGTGAGCAGGAGAGGGAGGATGCAATAATGACATGTAGATACAGGCCTGCAGTAATAACGGTGTGAAGGCCAGAAGGAAATTATTACCTAGTAATCTCGGACACAAACAAACAAAATGGGCTCTACACAAAGGGCAATCCACAATCTAATAAGAGAAAACATGATTTTAGGCATCATTCATGTCCGCAGCAAAAACATAGGTATGTCCCAAAGTTTAATACGTAAGTTGCAGACACATTAGCAAAATTTTAGCAAAATTTTGGAGACGATAAAGGTCCATTGTCTATAGAGAGCTGCAGCCGTGACACCAAATACTGGAAGACTAATTTGTCATTGTCACTATTGTACAGTTATCAAAATAGCCGGTCAAATAATGGTATATTTCTCATACCTTGAAGGAACTGATTTTGTTCCCTGAGAGGTTTAGATTTTGGAGATTGATGTTGGGATCCAAACTATGACCTTAGAAAAAAACATGTTAAATATTAGAGTATCTAGTAACGGATTTAAATATCTATGTATATTCTAATATTATAGTACAAAAATTCAATGCTACAATGGCGAAAATGTGGTGTTTTACAGTGGACCTACCAAGAGTCTCAATAGCATTATCAGCAAGATTCAACTCCTTAAGGCTTACAAGTGAATTCAATCCCTGTAAAACAAGGTGTAAAACAGTGGTACTGCATAGACACAAAAATAATATCATTTAAATTTTCATTTACAGTATCTCCAGACATAAACCATTTTAGCAACATTTTGGAGACGATAAAGGTCCATTGTCTATAGAGAGCTGCAGCCGTGACACCAAATACTGGAAGACTAATTTGTCATTTCCCTATGGGTTTTTATAATGAGGTTTTCAATTTATAAGTAAAATAATGTCTTTGGTAAATATAAATTGACAATAGTTGGACATTTTGCTCTAAAAAGCAAACACACACTCTGAAAATGTGAATTTTGAAGCAATTATGTTTATTTTTAAAAACATATTTTTGTAACAAGTAACTACATATGAACATCTTGGGTGTGTGATCCCGTTTGCCCAGGAAATTTCACTGAGCAATGGTAAATGTGACTGTATTTTTAAGGTAAGGTATTAAAAACTGAATTAAGTATAAGCAATTTAAGGGCTGCATGCCTTAGCAAATACTATTAAATTCAATTCAGTTCTATACAATTCATGCCTTATTCATGGAAATAAATTACTCTACTATGATACAGTTATCAAAATAGCCGGTCAAATAATGGTATATTTCTCATACCTTGAAGGAACTGATTTTGTTCCCTGAGAGGTTTAGATTTTGGAGATTGATGTTGGGATCCAAACTATGACCTTAGAAAAAAACATGTTAAATATTAGAGTATCTAGTAACGGATTTAAATATCTATGTATATTCTAATATTATAGTACAAAAATTCAATGCTACAATGGCGAAAATGTGGTGTTTTACAGTGGACCTACCAAGAGTCTCAATAGCATTATCAGCAAGATTCAACTCCTTAAGGCTTACAAGTGAATTCAATCCCTGTAAAACAAGGTGTAAAACAGTGGTACTGCATAGACACAAAAATAATATCATTTAAATTTTCATTTACAGTATCTCCAGACATAAACATAGGCTATACCTGTATGTCAGAGATCTGGTTCTTATTAAGCCACAGAATGTGAAGGTCGACCAACATCTCTAGATCTGTGATCTGCTGGATGTTGTTGTCGTACAGAAATAATTTCTGCAGATGCACACAGTTATGTAGGCCACAGATTTCCTACAACACACAAACAATACCAAACAGATCAAAATATACTAGATTTATTTGCTGATTTTCATCTTAATTAGAGTAAATCGGTCAAAGAAAATAAGCATTTAAAATGAACAATCTAGGCAAAATTGCAAAAAAATAAAAATAAACATACTGTAATTATACTTAAATCTAATCCATAAAACATTTTTAGAAAATTAAACTAGAAACATTCCAAATCTTTTCAGTAACTTACATTCAGTTTGCACTCCACTACCCATAATTCTTTGAGGAGTGGGCAATACTCCAGACCGTGGATTGAGCTAATGCTCTGGCCTATAATAGTGAGACTGGACAGTCTGGGAAAGAGAGAGAGGCCCACCATGCGCGGGAAACCAGAGAAAAACATCTCCAGAACCATTTCACCACACCCCTCCTGACCCACCTTCTCATAGCAGAGTCCATTAGACACACACTGAGGAAATAAACAATCCAAAGACACTTCAGCACAGACCAGCACATGTGGCTTAGATTAGAAAACCACACAAAGGCCAATTGCACATTAAGTTCATTTATTTGAACTAAAAAAAAATAATTAAAAAAAACTCACCAGCTCTTTTATAATTTCTTCGTCTCCAGTTAGTCTCTGCTTTTCATTCTGTGTCATGATCCCCTTAAAAACAATATTTTTGAAGGCTTATGGGCATTCAAAAAAATAAAACAGTCACTAATTCTTTACTAAAAATTACTACAACTGTAGCTACTAAACATAATAATAAAATGTATCAACATTTCTATCCTAGTTAATACTGAACAACTACAAAAACACATTCAAACTGCTGCAATGCTGCAAACACCTTTTACGTATACTTATAAACATTTATCTCACAAAATATACATTTCTAATTTTTACTAATGCGTATTTGCACTAGAAACTCCTCACCTGTTTGTGTATGTCCAACTGTATACTAGTCCAGAGTCCAGCAGGTGACCAAGTCAAACTCCTTCCATGATTTACCACTACAACAAATCAGTTTACCTACTCTCCACCATAAAGTTCAACAGCTGCGTGATGCCTGTTAAGTGTAAACATACCTTTCAACAGTGAAAACCTTATGATTTTCCTTTTTATTTTGCTCACTGCAATGTTTACATCAGGCCGTTGCTAAGGAAGCGTGGCTCGTCGCGTCGGTGCTAAGGAAGCCCTGTTGGAATGTGTTGCTGTCCGCCAGCAGATGCTGCTAAAACACCGGATCATCCCCCCGTCAAACTATATCAAATGTGAGTGTTTCAAAGCAATGTGCATTATTGAACGAGGTTTAAAGCTTCTATACGGCGACTTTAGAATTATTCTGTGTTTAAATATTTTTATTTTAAATTTCACAAAACAAAATCCTTTAATTAGTCTACACTTTTTAAAATTATTTATACAAAAGAAAAACGTTTATTTACATATAATAAAGAAGGAAAATGAACAACATCTTAATAATGATTCCCAACACAAATTAAAATTGGAAATTAAAACAAACGGAGAAAACACACCTCAGAACACAACACAACAATGCTAGCTAAGGGTAAGGGTAGCATATAGAAAAAGACAAACTAATCTTCACAATTCTGAAGAAATAAGATAAAATAAAAAGAATCCAAATTCAACCAATTGTATCCCATTCATGCTAAAATAACATTAAGTTAAATTAAACAAATAAACTGGGCAGAGTATAAATATTGAAACAGCTCCTATAAAATATAAAATATTTAAATAAGTCGGAAATCATATAAAATAATTTAATGACTAATCAATTTAGTCAAAGACACTGTTTCTGCAAACAACTCCTGCAAATGTAGTCACTTCAGGCTGCAACAACGAGGAAAAAGTCATGTTAAGACGCTGAATATATTTTTGTAATTTGCGCTGAAGTCTATTTAAAAAGCTTAAATGTGGCGTACGTGTTAAGTGTACTGTGGGGTAGCATGAACCACGCCCGTGGGGTGGAGGCGCGCGCACACGGACCGTCCTCTAACCCGGAATGTCGCTCTCCGTCTTAAATCCGTCCGTGCCAACCGCGAGCCGCACAGATACAGTGACGTCAGCTCCGAGACACTGAACCAAACACATCGAGCCCACTGGCTCCGCTGCTGCGAGACGGGAAGCATCGGGCAGGATCGGCCATATTAAGCGTCACATCTCTGAATTTCTTCTGCGATCTCACAGAATCGTTCTAGCTTCGAAACAAACTCCCTGCGTGCGATTACTGTAAGCATGTCCGCCAAATCGAGCGAGGGGCCGGGTTTGGATGGGAAATGGTTCGATGAGGTGGAGGAGGAGGAGAAGAACGGGATGTTTGGGAGCGCAGGGCCCCGTTTCGACGAGATGCGGGACGATCTGCACGCGCCCAAGCAACAATTCCATCCCTTTGAAGGAAGCGGCGTTGCCATGGAAACTGCATCTACAGGTAAATTTGGGCTTGTTATAATTACGCATTGAGTGTGTTTAGCGGCGACATCCGTGCCGGCGATAAAAGAAGAAGCAAAAGCTGATGATGATGATGAATTGGAGACGAAGAGAGACAGACCAGGCCATGGGTGTGACAGTGCCTGGATGTCTCTGCATACACAGACGCACAGTGTGCTCCAGGCAACTATGGTAGTTCAAACAACATGATCAAACAAACGACACACACACAATAAAACAAACAAAACATTCTTCTGTTACTCTCTAATGGTTTTAGAGTTAAGCAATCATGACGAGAGAACTCTTAGGATCTTGATGTGTGTTCATAAAGCCACAATAATGCAATCATCATTTCTTTGTCTTTGTGCTCAGCCTGTCTCACTGCCCTCTTTCTCCTCGGCCCGTCTCACTGTTCTAAATCACAGGGCATGGCTCAATAATTGGGCATTGTCCACCCCTCTAATAAACCTCTTCATGTAGCACAGCGAGGCTATTAACACTTCTCATTATGACTAGGTCTATCACAATAACAACTTTTTGTTGTGCGATATATTGCCCCAGAAATAATTGCGATAAGCGATATTATTGTCATTTTAAAGACCATTATATGCCACTGAATTTATGGCAATACTCCAGACCGTGGATTGAGCTAATGCTCTGGCCTATAATAGTGAGACTGGACAGTCTGGGAAAGAGAGAGAGGCCCACCATGCGCGGGAAACCAGAGAAAAACATCTCCAGAACCATTTCACCACACCCCTCCTGACCCACCTTCTCATAGCAGAGTCCATTAGACACACACTGAGGAAATAAACAATCCAAAGACACTTCAGCACAGACCAGCACATGTGGCTTAGATTAGAAAACCACACAAAGGCCAATTGCACATTAAGTTCATTTATTTGAACTAAAAAAAAATAATTAAAAAAAACTCACCAGCTCTTTTATAATTTCTTCGTCTCCAGTTAGTCTCTGCTTTTCATTCTGTGTCATGATCCCCTTAAAAACAATATTTTTGAAGGCTTATGGGCATTCAAAAAAATAAAACAGTCACTAATTCTTTACTAAAAATTACTACAACTGTAGCTACTAAACATAATAATAAAATGTATCAACATTTCTATCCTAGTTAATACTGAACAACTACAAAAACACATTCAAACTGCTGCAATGCTGCAAACACCTTTTACGTATACTTATAAACATTTATCTCACAAAATATACATTTCTAATTTTTACTAATGCGTATTTGCACTAGAAACTCCTCACCTGTTTGTGTATGTCCAACTGTATACTAGTCCAGAGTCCAGCAGGTGACCAAGTCAAACTCCTTCCATGATTTACCACTACAACAAATCAGTTTACCTACTCTCCACCATAAAGTTCAACAGCTGCGTGATGCCTGTTAAGTGTAAACATACCTTTCAACAGTGAAAACCTTATGATTTTCCTTTTTATTTTGCTCACTGCAATGTTTACATCAGGCCGTTGCTAAGGAAGCGTGGCTCGTCGCGTCGGTGCTAAGGAAGCCCTGTTGGAATGTGTTGCTGTCCGCCAGCAGATGCTGCTAAAACACCGGATCATCCCCCCGTCAAACTATATCAAATGTGAGTGTTTCAAAGCAATGTGCATTATTGAACGAGGTTTAAAGCTTCTATACGGCGACTTTAGAATTATTCTGTGTTTAAATATTTTTATTTTAAATTTCACAAAACAAAATCCTTTAATTAGTCTACACTTTTTAAAATTATTTATACAAAAGAAAAACGTTTATTTACATATAATAAAGAAGGAAAATGAACAACATCTTAATAATGATTCCCAACACAAATTAAAATTGGAAATTAAAACAAACGGAGAAAACACACCTCAGAACACAACACAACAATGCTAGCTAAGGGTAAGGGTAGCATATAGAAAAAGACAAACTAATCTTCACAATTCTGAAGAAATAAGATAAAATAAAAAGAATCCAAATTCAACCAATTGTATCCCATTCATGCTAAAATAACATTAAGTTAAATTAAACAAATAAACTGGGCAGAGTATAAATATTGAAACAGCTCCTATAAAATATAAAATATTTAAATAAGTCGGAAATCATATAAAATAATTTAATGACTAATCAATTTAGTCAAAAACACTGTTTCTGCAAACAACTCCTGCAAATGTAGTCACTTCAGGCTGCAACAACGAGGAAAAAGTCATGTTAAGACGCTGAATATATTTTTGTAATTTGCGCTGAAGTCTATTTAAAAAGCTTAAATGTGGCGTACGTGTTAAGTGTACTGTGGGGTAGCATGAACCACGCCCGTGGGGTGGAGGCGCGCGCACACGGACCGTCCTCTAACCCGGAATGTCGCTCTCCGTCTTAAATCCGTCCGTGCCAACCGCGAGCCGCACAGATACAGTGACGTCAGCTCCGAGACACTGAACCAAACACATCGAGCCCACTGGCTCCGCTGCTGCGAGACGGGAAGCATCGGGCAGGATCGGCCATATTAAGCGTCACATCTCTGAATTTCTTCTGCGATCTCACAGAATCGTTCTAGCTTCGAAACAAACTCCCTGCGTGCGATTACTGTAAGCATGTCCGCCAAATCGAGCGAGGGGCCGGGTTTGGATGGGAAATGGTTCGATGAGGTGGAGGAGGAGGAGAAGAACGGGATGTTTGGGAGCGCAGGGCCCCGTTTCGACGAGATGCGGGACGATCTGCACGCGCCCAAGCAACAATTCCATCCCTTTGAAGGAAGCGGCGTTGCCATGGAAACTGCATCTACAGGTAAATTTGGGCTTGTTATAATTACGCATTGTGTGTGTTTAGCGGCGACATCCGTGCCGGCGATAAAAGAAGAAGCAAAAGCTGATGATGATGATGAATTGGAGACGAAGAGAGACAGACCAGGCCATGGGTGTGACAGTGCCTGGATGTCTCTGCATACACAGACGCACAGTGTGCTCCAGGCAACTATGGTAGTTCAAACAACATGATCAAACAAACGACACACACACAATAAAACAAACAAAACATTCTTCTGTTACTCTCTAATGGTTTTAGAGTTAAGCAATCATGACGAGAGAACTCTTAGGATCTTGATGTGTGTTCATAAAGCCACAATAATGCAATCATCATTTCTTTGTCTTTGTGCTCAGCCTGTCTCACTGCCCTCTTTCTCCTCGGCCGTCTCACTGTTCTAAATCACAGGGCATGGCTCAATAATTGGGCATTGTCCACCCCTCTAATAAACCCCTTCATGTAGCACAGCGAGGCTATTAACACTTCTCATTATGACTAGGTCTATCACAATAACAACTTTTTGTTGTGCGATATATTGCCCCAGAAATAATTGCGATAAGCGATATTATTGTCATTTTAAAGACCATTGAATTTATAATCATAATGTAACAGCATAATAATGCAAGAAGGCCTACACACTTCCAAATGACAACAAACTTTTTATTTGTAAGAATATTTAGATCATGGAAATTAAGTATCAAAATATTGATTCCTTAAAAAACGTGAATAAATAATAAATAAATATTTTCTAACAAAAAGTGTAAAGTAGCAAGTAGAAAAAAGAAAAATGCGCAAAGATTTTTCCATCTACAGATTTTTCCCTGACCTTCTTTTCTCTGTAAATTAAGGGTGCACACTATTGCTGAAAAACACAATCACTACTTAGCAGTCAGATGTCCGTATGCACAAAGGCACAGATCCCTAAACAAGACCATATCTGCAGATGAAACTGTTTTTGTAGAAGCATTTTTTAAATTTGAACTAGCATCTCATGACTACACCACATTATGTACGAGAAGCTGCAAAAGACACAGGCGCCAGTGGAATGTACAAAACATGGTGACATTAAAGGGGTCATATGATGCGATTTCAAGTTTTCCTTTCTCTTTGGAGTGTTACAAGCTGTTCGTGAATAGATAAGATCCCTGAAGTTGCAAAGACTAAAGTCTCAAAACCAAAGAGATATTCTTTATCAAAGTATAGACTCTGCCACACCCCCCTAAAACGGCTCGTTCTAACACGCCCCCACATATCTAGGTCGCTATGTGGGAATATTTGCATAATGCCGCCCAAATGTGCACGCAAAGAAAGAAGGCGTGGTTTCAGTAACCGCAGTTAGTGTTGAAGCAGCCATGTCAGGGAGACGCTGTGTGTTTCTAGGCGAAAGCAAAAGCACTTTATTTGGCCTTCTGGAAGTAGATGCAATTAGGAATCTTTAAGATTACTTACAACAATACAGCTATGCATTTTATGGACGACCGTTTCGTGAACCTAGGAGAGGAGGTAATTCTGACTTTGCTATGACAATCTGGCGTTTCTGAATCAGCGACTGTAAGTATGTTTTGTTACTAGTTTAAGTATTTGCTATTGACTGTTCAAATGCGGAGTTTTGCGCATCGTGTGTGTGTGAGAGAGAGAGACAGCGTCACATCAAAGTGGAGTCAGTCTTTAACCGCGGCTTGTGTACTACATCATTACTGTGTCTGTTCCCCTTTCGGGCTTGAACTGATGGTAAAACGAATGACATTATTTACTGTCTTTACATTTATTTTGAAAGATGAAGCTCGCGATTATGGTAAGGGCCGTTAAATTTCCGATGCGCGCTTGTGGTGTTCGGCCAATCACAATGCACTGGGTCAGCTGGCCAATCAGAGCAGACTGCGCTTGTCGGAAGGAGGGACTTTGTAGAAAACGAAGCGTTTGAGAGAGGCGGGGCATAGAGAACCTACAATAATGTACAGTATTTGAAAAATAATGTGTTTTTTGAACATTAAAGCATGTCAGCATATTCTGTTACACCAAATACACAAAATAATAATCTTTAAAAAAAGCATCATATGACCCCTTTAATTTGTAAGTAAATATAATGGGCGATATATTGCGTCACCTAAAATGATTGAGGTCATGTACATATATTGCGTGATAAGTCGATATATTGATTATTGCGACAGGCCTAATTATGACAGGTCATCAGCACAACCTTCAAATTCACAGTCAGACTCAACCCAGTCTAATGAGAAAATTTAACTCTTTTACACAATGGCAAACGTTTTTTTGTAAGGAAAAGGTCTACCCCAGACATGACCTGTCAGTGAGGCTTAAGCAAGCATACGAATTAAGAAAACATTAAATAATTACAAATTGCATTGAGAGTGTGTTAGCATCATATGACCCCTTTAATTTGTAAGTAAATATAATGGGCGATATATTGCGACACCTAAAATTATTGAGGTAATGTACATATATTGCGTGATAAGTCGATATATTGATTATTGCGACAGGCCTAATTATGACAGGTCATCAGCACAACCTTCAAATTCACAGTCAGACTCAACCCAGTCTAATGAGAAAATTTAACTCTTTTACACAATGGCAAACGTTTTTTTGTAAGGAAAAGGTCTACCCCAGACATGACCTGTCAGTGAGGCTTAAGCAAGCATACGAATTAAGAAAACATTAAATAATTACAAATTGCATTGAGAGTGTGTTGTCAGCCCTCCTGATTCTACCTGCTGTAGTATATTAAGCTTTTTAAAAGACATTCGAATTCACATTAATGTTAGTATTTTAATATAAACTAACTGTAATCTGGTCAATTATATCTTGTTTGCTGAGTGCACTTAAAAGTGCACTTAGTATTTAATTTTTTTTATTTAAAGTTTTAAGAAGAAATAAATGAGTAGCACTTGAAAATTATATCCATTGAAATGATGACTCCAGTAACATCAGTAGCCTAATCTATTTTACATGGAGCACCATCTCAGGGGGGCCACCATGTTGAGATCACGGGACCAGCCAAATAGTGCTCATGTTGTCTTGGTAAACGCCTGTTAGTGGACACATTTGCATACTGAATAAATTAATTACGGCTGACTGTGAACTGCACATTTCTTTACAGCCATCGGTAACTAAAGTATTGCTGCTTACATGTCAAACATGACCATATTGGCCAGTGCTAATGCATAAAAATGACTTGAGTGTGCCTTAAACTTTTTTAGAGATGAGTATATTAGAAAGTATATTAGAGTTTTCTTGTGTATAGTGTGATTATTAAAACAAAGAGGAGTTGAAGAAAAGACTGATATTAGTTCGGGATGTCAACATTTATGTTGGATAAAGTTTGTGTTATTGCCATAAATGATGTTGCTTCAACATTTGAAGCAGTAGCTTTTTTGATGCTATGAACAACATCTGATCAAGAAATGAATATCCTGCATCGTAAAGCTAGAGTTTTTCTGGTGAACTTTTTCTTTCTCAGTATTTCTGAGCTGCTAAACTGAATCCTCACTGACCATAACAAAAAAGAACAGTGAGTTTATTAGATGAGACGGTCTGGCGTTAGCCTGATTCCTAAGCCTCAGACAGTAATGTAGATTTAGTACCGGACAATAATAAAACATAGAACTATCTTATCAAGAAGGAAGTGTACATGATCGGAGGTTCAGAGGTAGACATCCAAGCACTCACAGTGGTACTTTAATTGTACCCCATGCTGCAGCGTTTAATGTGATTTTAGTGTTTCTATTGATCAATGTGACATATAAAGTAGTGATGTATCTATAGAAACCCTTTCAGAGTGGAGACGGTGACTATAGCCTATCACGCACATAGCATGTGAAATACAGTGACATACTTTCATACGGAAACCATCGCAGCTCGCTTTCATGGCTTTTTCCTGTTGCTAATTGTCAGTTTCTGCTTCTGCAGGTGCTCCTTGGGCCATTAAGAGTCTGATTGAGCCGCCATTATGGCTCAGAGTGCTATTAGCTATGGGGAAACTGCATGCACACATACGCCCATGCACAGTCTCTCTCACATGCTCAAATATTCATGAGCCGGGGCCTGAAATCCCTCAGCTCCCCCGTGCACTGGTTAGCTGTAACACACACTTGCACATACACAAAGTCTTTCCTCCTCTCATGGACACAAGCCCAAATACGCATATTCTCTTAAATGCATTCAAATGCACTCACACAAAGAGTCTTTCACACTCTGGTTATGGTAAGGTTCTTGTTTCTTCCCTTCCTCTCTCTCTCTCTCTCGCTCTCTCTTCCTGTCTTTCATACAATGTCGGTTTGGGCTGTAGTTGGCTCAGTCTTTAGCATTCTCTCTTTTTAAATAAACAGAGGGAGGTCTATTTATAGGCTGAGTAAGAGTGAGCCGTCTTTTTACAGTAGCCAAGCCAGTGAGCTCACAACTCTTTAATAAAAAGACGGGCTGGAAAAAGATCTGTCCACGTGGTGAGCAGCTCAACACAACAGAAATCCTGTAACTCTGATCGTACCATCTATAACATCACTCCCACGTCAATATGTCCACCATAATCCACTTCTGACTGTCTCTCTCTCCCCAGTTGTCTCTCTCTCTGTCTGCCTGTCTAATATGCTGAAGGGAAAGGCCTAGACGAGGAGGAATGCTGGTGCATACTGTCTGTCTGCATTCACAAAGTCACTCGGGCATGAGAGAGAGAGGCTGAGCGAGATCAACAAACAGTGCTGGGTGTATGTGAAAAGACCGTTCCTGCTGTCACTTTCAGCCAAAGGCGGTCAGCATGCAAGGACCACTCGAATAGAGCGCAACACTAGGGGCCTCTGGAGAGAAATTGATTGTATAAACCTTTCCAGACAGACCTAATTCGAATTTTGAGGTTGTAAAATGGTGGAAGACAAGTCGGCGTGACTTCAGCTTAATTCTAAAATAATGTAGTTTTTTTCTATCATAACTAGAAAATCTATAATTTACTTACCCTCATGTCATTCTAAACCTGTATGACTTTATTTATTCTACAGAACACAAAAGAAGTCCAAACAACATTGGACCCCAATTAGTCCATATTTATTTGTATGTACAACAAGTCATTTTTCACAATATCTCTTCTATTCCACAGAAGAAAGAAAGTCATGCAGGGTCAGTAAATTAAATTTTTTTAGCTTACTATCCCCTTAATTTCTGGCAAAGAACTACACTACCCATAATCCTCCAACAATCAGAGAAGTCACTGTTACCATGGAAATGTGAGTCTTGCTAAAAGAGCTCAGCAGTGTCCACCTACTCCCATCAAGCATTGCAAATATCATGATCGAGTCACTGGCTGAATTCAGAGTAGCATACTATTCTTACTATATAAAGATATGGTAAATGTAAATTTAGGATGCTATACCGAATTCAGCCACACCCATAAAACAAATTTTGTCTTTGTCAAATAACTTTTTCACTTGTGGCCATTTTTGTCTGTAGCTTAGAATTCTTTATTGAAGAAAATGTCTATGACAGAAATGAATATGAAAAATACCAGACGCAGAGTTGCTGAAAAAGGGCAGTCACTGTTTGGTGTTGGCAAGACATACACATTTTTCTGATATTCACACATTTAGTACTCAAACAAGAATGGAGAAGACAACTCTTTAATGCACTTTTCAGTGTAAAAAAAATCTATCAAAGTTGGTGGAGGAAGCCTGATAAATATTGATAATAAATGTAATACTGAAAATGATCTTTTTATGAAACTGTTTGGTCTGACTGTTTTTCCCAATATTTGTATGTGCGATATATTTTTATATTTTAGTATTGGGTCATTAGCAACATACTAATGGAAATGCCAATTATTTTTATATTTTTGGTTTTAATTTTAATTTTAGTTTATGATCTGATAATTTGATGTGTGTTTTGTTTTTTAAATATTTCTATTTAGCTATTTATTTTTAATTCACTTAGTTTTTAATTCACTTTGTCACAAGGCAGCATTTCTAATGGTCATTTAAATTGTTTGTTTTTCATCTAATATTTATATTTTATTTCAGCTTTATTTCAATTACCAAAGACGATTTGTAATATGTTTAGTTTTATTTTAGTCAACAATAACAACACTGCTATGCTGCCTTAGAAGACAGCTGTCTGTATAAGCTGTAGACGGCAAGATGCCATGATCGGTTTTGGAATCACATCATTAATTTCCCCAAAATGCATTTGGGCATTGATCCATTATGATGTTATTTCCTACCGTAAATTTTAGCACAGGCTAATGTGCATGTGTTATTGGAGATGTAGCAGTCACAGGGTTCCTTGTCCAACCTTCATTAATCCTCTTAAGACTCAACTGATTTCACAGAGACAGAGCAGATGTTTCCAACTGTGTCTCAGAGGGCTGTGTAGTGTTCACCGTACCCAACCGGTCTGAATGTCACTACATGATCAAACTTCCTAATCTGCTTTTCCTCTCAGTCCAGTGGGAATCAGATTTACATCACGTCTGGAAAAAGAATCTACTTTCATGTTGATTCTCTGCATAGATTCTTGTTCAGCTCGATTACTTTGTGTCTTTCTCTGTGTAGGACTGTGTCTTTGTCTATTATTATCACATTTGTGAGTGCAGATGCCCAAATATACTCTAAATTACTTTAAAACTAGTGTTATATAATCTTCTAACATATTTTATGTATTATTATTGCCATTAGCGAAATCTACAGAATAAATGCAAATAAACTTTAAACCAAAAAATATATGAAATTATAATGAACCCATCCATTCTTTTTTTTAATGCAACAGCTGCTGCCCAAAGTATTCATGGACACAAACACATAAATAACATACAACCACAAAATAAAAAGGAGTACAGAGAACAACGCACAGAGTCATAGACTCATGAAGATGCCCAAAAAGGCTTTGAAAGATGTGCTTTTAACATGGCCTTAAATTTCAGTAGTGACTTTACTGACCTAATGGAAAGAGGGAGATCATTCCAAAGATTAGGTCCAACACAAGAAAAAGCTCTGTTGTTTGTATTTTGTTCTGACAACACAGAGAATATTTAGATTTTCGGATCTCAAAGATCTAGAAGGATTATACAATGGCAACATTAGAAAGATAAGAAGGGGCAAAATTATGTAGCGTCTTTAAAACGAGAAACAGGATCTTAGTTAATTCTATACCGAAGAGGCAACCATTTCAGTGATTTTAAAAGCAGTGTAACTGGTTCAAATATCTTGGCTGACTTGAGCATTCTGGCAGCAGCATTTTGTGCTCCTTGGACATCACAACAGAACAGTGTAAAACCATAATTTTCATAATGTTAAAGGAGTAGGGTTAGTTTTGTTTGTGTGTGTGTGTGTGTGTGTGTTCCTACTTAACCATATTTTGGGGACAAATTGGAAGTGAGCAAAACCTGACAAAGTCACCAAAAACCTCCCTATGAGGACGTCCTTATTTATAAAACTGTGTTTTGCAATTTATAAACATACAGCAGGATACAAGGGAGAGGAATTGATTAGAGATTTATTAGAAGAAGGGAGATGGCATCAAACATTTTACAGCATTTTATATTACATTATGCCATGTGATACTGTATATAGAGGCATTAGCATGCAAGAAATGTTCAGCTACAGCATAGATTCAATCATATGGCACAGTGAGGACATTTACTGCATTGACAGTAAACTAGCACAAAACCGTATGGCCATGTCACACCTTTTGATACAATAAATCACTGGATAAATATTTTTACAAACATGGATTTTATGCGAGTTATGCAAGTTAGGTAATGTAAGTGTATTTTGTAACATGACAATTATTGCCTGTATTACTGCAATTAATTTCGCAACAAAGGTAATTTGAAACATGTACCTTGCATTGTTTGCTCTTCAATTAACTGATTGTTAAAAGTACTAAATTGAAAGAAGATCAAACTGTTGTGATTAAATCAAATGTTCTCAATATATATTACAATAATCTTATGTTTTATAATAAACAATGATTATGTTGGTTGAAAACATGTATAATTGTAATGAAAGCATGAGATCAGTTTTTCAAAGAATGACTAGCGATGTCACAAGTGTGATCAGTTTGGATTTTTGTACTAAAGACTGGCTCAGCCTACAGGAGTTTTAAAATCCTAAAGCCACTTACTGTTTTCTAGGGCCAGACCTAAGTTTTATCATAATTTAATTTCAAAAAGTTTGCAGCCATCCAGGCTTTGATGTCCTGTAGACAGGCCAGTAAATTATCGATAATGTTCATTTTTGGTCCTACTTAACCATATTTTGGGGACAAATTGGAAGTGAGCAAAACCTGACTATGAGGACGTCCTTATTTATAAAACTGTGTTTTGCAATTTATAAACATACAGCAGGATACAAGGGAGAGGAATTGATTAGAGATTTATTAGAAGAAGGGAGATGGCATCAAACATTTTACAGCATTTTACATTACATTATGCCATGTGATACTGTATATAGAGGCATTACCATGCAAGAAATGTTCAGCTACAGCATAGATTCAATCATATGGCACAGTGAGGACATTTACTGCATTGACAGTAAACTAGCACAAAACCGTATGGCCATGTCACACCTTTTGATACAATAAATCACTGGATAAATATTTTTACAAACATGGATTTTATGCGAGTTATGCAAGTTAGGTAATGTAAGTGTATTTTGTAACATGACAATTATTGCCTGTATTACTGTAATTAATTCCACAACAAAGGTAATTTGAAACATGTACCTTGCATTGTTTGCTCTTCAATTAACTGATTTTTAAAAGTACTAAATTGAAAGAAGATCAAACTGTTGTGTTTTGGTGATTAAATCAAATGTTCTCAATATATATTACAATAATCTTATGTTTTATAATAAACAATGATTATGTTGGTTGAAAACATGTATAATTGTAATGAAAGCATGAGATCAGTTTTTCAAAGAATGACTAGCGATGTCACAAGTGTGATCAGTTTGGATTTTTGTACTAAAGACTGGCTCAGCCTACAGGAGTTTTAAAATCCTAAAGCCACTTACTGTTTTCTAGGGCCAGACCTAAGTTTTATCATAATTTAATTTCAAAAAGTTTGCAGCCATCCAGGCTTTGATGTCCTGTAGACAGGCCAGTAAATTATCGATAATGTTCATTTTTGGAAGATAGATCTGAGTGTCATCCGCATAACACTGGAAGGATACATTGTATTTTCGAAAAATAGATCCTAAAGGTAACATGTAAAGAGAAAATAATACTGAAACATAATTTAGATCTGAATAGGTACTTACTACAAATAAGCTCTGAAATTCTGAATTTGTATCTTTGAATGCACATTATCAAATGAACAAACAATATTATTTTAGTATGGTGTTTTGTGTGCATCAGCACAGAAATACACACATTCAAGAACCAATAATGAAAACAAACACCATGAAAATCATTTTTACTTGCAAGAATAACTGTTTACATTTTTTCCACCCATTACTTATCTCTCTCTCTCTCTCTTTCTCTCTCTCTCTCTCTCTCTAGGTGACTCACTGTCTGACATGTTTATGAAGTCATCATCAGGAGAGGGTGATTTGTACACCTCTCTCCTTTCCTCAAAATCCTCCTCCAATCCTTTCAATGATGGTGCCTCTCTCTTCTCCACTGGGGGCAACCGCTCTCCGCCTGCTCCCACTGGGACCGACTCTGGCATCGGCATGACCCCAGGTGACCCCTCAGACCATCAGACAACCCTGCAGGGTTCACATAAGACTGACCATTACAGCTACATGGACATGGGGGATGACCTCTGTGATTTTGGTAGTGTGGGCAATACCAAGAACAAGCAGCAACCTGCCATGTCTGGCTATGGAGATGACGAAGACAATGAAGAAGATGAAGATGACATTCAGGATTTCAAGCCTAAGATTCACGAAAAGGAATCCAGCCATGACCCCTTCGATCTGGGTCGCTATTTGGAAAAGAGTCCTCTTGGATCTGAAGATACAGGGGTGAAGAGTCCGGGATCAGCCGGTGGGCAGCACACATTTCCATACGTGGAGGATCCTTCAGATGAAGAAACATTACCAACAGATCACAGTAGCGATAAAGTATATCTTCATGTGAACAGTTCGGGTGTTTCTTATGTCGTGGTATTAAAACATTAAAACAACAACGCTCTACATCACACATTTCTGAGACAATCTGGATCAGCGCAGATCAGCCTGTTGCCATAGTAACACGGGCGCGCGGGAGCTTAAGCTGTTACCGTGGTGAGCCCATAGAGAGAAGATGCTGAGGGAAACAGAAGAAGATGATGAAAATTAATAAACCAAGACTGAAATAATCGAATATCAGTCCTACTCAAGCGCACACATATATGTTTATTTATATATAAAAAAAAAGAGCTGTTTCTATATATATATATATATATATATATATATATATATATATATCCCATAGAATACTTATTTTTATTTAATTATATTGCTTTATTCTTTTGCTTTTTGTTTCTCTGCAATGAGAATATTTTACTATAATTTTCTGTATAATTTTGAATAAATATTTGTTACTCAGTGTGTAAGGATATATTTTCACATATGTTAGCCTGCTATTGTGTTAAAGTCTGAATGCAATAAAATAAAAAAGAAAGAGAGAGATATATATATATACAGCAGACTCCGCCCATTTTGTGCCGACAACAGTGCCAATAGGGTCACATGACCTTGCTTATGTTTATGTATTAGCTTTGTTAGATAGGGTGGGGCCTCTTTGATCTGAACCCCTCCCCCATCACGCCCCGGGCGTTGCATATGGTACGATCCGCTCTCTGCGGCGGAGGCTGCAGTGTTTACGGTTTCATCCAGCAGAGCAGCGCCTCTCCTTCTTTCTCTCGTTCCGTCTGTCTGTCCGTCCGTTTCCTCACTAAGTAGCGGTAGCTTGTCTCTCCTCTGCTCTCTCCTCTCTTTTCTGGTCATTCATGCCGTTCGGACGTGTGAGATAGTGGGTCTCGGGAAGACATAAGATCTGCGAAAGGGAAAAGAGAAAGACGACAGCAGCGAGAGAAACGTCAGAGGACGGGAAGACATGGAGAAAGGGAAGAAAGAGTGCAACTGGAGCAGCTGGAGAGGGCAGGGTACAGAGTTCGTGTTTGTCTGTATAAAAAGCGTATTTTATGGTATTCATTTCACAGCACCGTATTGTTCGTGTGTGTTTTATGCTGTGTATTTGAGCGTGTATTAGGCTTTACGTGAAGCCTGCGCTTGTGGGACAAAGAGAAGAGGGAAGAGGCAGCTTTTTTGGGATGAGGGGTGGCAGGTGGTCCGTCTGCTTCATAGTAATGCTGATATGGTAACCCCGCTGTGTCGTTAGATTAGGCTCCGGTTGCCATGGAACAGAGTTCAGACTGTTTTTTTTCTTTTAATCTTCAATCGCGGTTACAGTGGCGCTGGATGAGGCTGTCGCTATGGCAACCAGGTCACACCCATCCGGATTACATCATTCTCTTCAACAGGCATCCATGATACCTGGAGAAGGAAATAGGGAGGGCATGGAAGACTAAGAAATTGTGAGCTAGGCTATTTTTAAAAGAGAAACAAACTCTAGGCTCTCTAGGCTATTCTAGTACAATGGCAGGCGCATTTTAAATGTCCACCTAGGTCAATGGTGTTGGGAGGGAGTGCAGACACTCCATTTATAGGGACTGCATTGTGTTCAGTCTGTGTTTGCACAGCTACAGTATTTGTGTATGGCTGTGTTTGCTGAAACTACTGTCTGTAACTAGATGAACAATTCACAACATTATGACTGGCCTGACAGTATTCTCAGTATAAGGCATTCTTAATGGTTTTGTTGCTAGAGTATTCTGGGTAGTTGTTTTGGCATGAAAAAAAAGTCCACATGAGGGTTTCTATTATATTTTGTTGCCTAGATATGTGTACGGCCTTTTAAATGTATTTTTTTTACCATTGATGCATAGTAAATGTATCTTAAATCCATTCCTAGTATTATGCGTTTTAATGATTTAGAAATTCTACTCATGATCGTTTAACAACACAAACATAAATTTTTACTCAGTTTGTCTCTATGCTATTTATATGACATCACATTTTCCCTGCATTATGGTATGACATCACTATGAAATGATTTCTTGTTTGTTGATGATTCATAACAAACCCTCTAGACTAGAGTCTAGACCCCTCTTACTGCATTCTCATACACACAGAGACATGCATAAAGTAGCCTAACACATAAATAAATAAAACATACAGTGCTGTATTTCTAAACCACTCACATGCCTGAAGACAGTGTTTTATTTGAACTCATCCATATACATTTGTCTGTATTAGGAAATTAAGTAATTAAATAAAAGTAAGTACATAAAATAATTCTAATGTGCTAATTATTGGATAAAGCAACAGGGTTTCTAAAGTCAGGACAGAATATTTTTCCTGATTACACTTTACAAAAGCAAGTACAGTATATGTAAATTTTATATTAACATATATTACCTCCATATTTCAATTATGTTTGTATCGTTTGGTAGGGCTGGATTCCATTTCCTGTTTAGCTCTGGAATTTGCAGGCTTGTGTGTGTGTTGTATGGGGTCTTGATTATGCACAATGTAAGAGTACCAGGATTGTGATCGCAGTAACTCTGGCGTCTGGGTCACCTATTTTTGAGAATTTTGTGTCAGCAGCCCAGATCATTAACCAATAAGCTACCAACAACCCTAATTAAAACTTAAACTGGCACAAAATGTGACAAAAAAAGCACAGTTCATGTGAATTCAATGAAGACAAAGGCACTGATAACGAAGATTCGACCAAAATCAGAAAATTCTGTCATCATTTACTCACCTTTATGTTGCTCTAAACCTGCATGACATTCTTACTTCTTTAGAGCATTTATTTTTTTTATGTCAATACTGTGAAAGTCAATGTTAACCAAAATGTTCCAGCATTCTGCACAATATCTTATTTTGTGTTCTGCAGAATAAAGAAAGACATACAGATGATGACATGACAGAATTTTTTATATTTAACTAGAGGTTGACCGATTGATCGGCCGATTTTTGGCATTTTTTAAATTAATCAGCATCTTGTACCCTGCCATAATCATTTACTCAAACTAGGGTTGGGCGATGTCAGCTTAGCATCGTGATGTCTAGCATCGTCTATCGGCCCAACCCTAACTCACACTCACTTTTATGAGATGAAGGGGGGGAAAAAAGAAAATCAGCCAAACATATCGGCCAAAAAATTGGCTTCATATATCGGCCATCGGCTGCCCTGATTTCTAAATATCAGCATCGGCCAGTGAAAAACCCATATCGGTCGACCTCTATTTTTAACTGTGGTGGAAAGGTAAACAAGGACAGACACTGAGTGAAAATGTACATGGAAAGTCAAAAATAAAGTGGGCTTGGGCATTGTGAGGGTCGGAAGTGCAGAGAAGGTTTTAATGCAGTCACACATGCTCCCTTCCTGGTCCAGGATGCGTTTCATAGCTTTGTGTACTAGCTTAGCATATTGCTAACTGATTAAGACAATCTTTTTATGATACATTATAACAAGATATCTAGTTGTTCAGCCATTTTGAATGAACATTCAGGCTTTCAGTCCCAACAGAGGGCTCACTTTTTCAGCTGCCTTGGTTCCAGAAGTATGTTTCCCAGTCATTTTTCCCTTAGGGATTTTTAAAAAGTCTTTGATTAAAAGTTAAAAGCCATAAATCAAACCAAACAGCTACAAGGTGAATCCCAATATTACAAACTTTGATTTGAAGGAAAAAACTATTTTAAAATAAAAAGACAAAGGTATAAGACTATGGACTGTGTAACAGCTGTAATGAACTACAATTCCATGAAGCATTGCAAATATAATTAACATAAATACGAATTGCGAATGTAATTGAAATAAATACGAAATATATGGAGAAATATTGGTTTAAAGATGTTGATAGCATATATAGAAACAACATATTTTACGACAGTTGCAAAATATGGATATATATATAAATATTTAAGTAGTTTACAGTGTTTCATGGGAGTGCTTTAAGTTTTGCAACTTGCTTTGATTTTATGATTTGGTGCAAGTTTTTTTGCAGAACCATGGGTAATGTAGTTTTTCACCTGGATTTGTTCTGTTGAACACATTTATTTAAAAAATAAGTTGAAATAATGCAATCTAGTGGCTTCAACAAAAGCATATGCCATTGATTAACAACTTAGTAGTTCACAGTAGGTCTGGTTTATAAGCTTTATAAGTTATCGTTAAACATTTATTCTGCTATGAAGAAAATGTGATTGAAGCAAAAGAATGTGATTTTTACTTCCGGAATTCTACTGCTGCACTTCATACAGGGCATTGCCCTTGGCAGTGACCTTTCACTCAGGAAGTGAATGGTTGGATAATAATGTTAGACTGGTTGTCAAGCTGGATGTGCATCTCTGATGCTATAATTACACTCCGACATTTAAACACCAGCACACACGCACACAATTACCCCCCACCATTACCTTTTTATTTTAAGCTGGCCCCCTAAGCAATGTGTGTAAGGGAAACTGGAACACTGTATCTATAGCAACTACTGCTGCCCCCTTTCTTTCTCTTCTCACACACACTTGCCACATAGGACATATGAAACAAGGTGGATTAATTAGGTTTCTGCTAGATTAATTAGGTTCAATGAAAGAGTCACACATAATTTTCATTTTTGATTGTGTTTGTGTTTTAGTCTGGGCTATTTGTCACCCTTTATGCTGTATTAATATGTGTGTGTGTGTGTGAGTGTGTTCATTATAGCCAATGGTAGTATGAGCCGGTCCCCCTCCCTCTTATTCTCTGCCTTTCTCTCTCTCCTTTTGTGTGCGCTCCCACTCACTGTCTCTCTCTCTCTTTTTCTTGCTGTCTGCAGTCATGGGTGGTTCAGGTCAGTAGCTCTCTCTGTCTTCTATTAGCTTTGGCGTTTAATCATCAAAAATCTCAAAGACTATTTTTTATAATGATAGAATTAATTACAGATGTCACTGGTTTTGTTGGAAAACTGAATTTAGTGGTGTTTTAGTGTCTGTATGTGATTTTAGAGCCCATGTTAGGTAACCTAACCACTGGATATCCTTAAACACTAGTATTATACTAGTCTACATTAGTTAAGTAATATTTAAAGGTGTGTGTAAGGCAAGGCAAGGCAAGGCAAGTTTATTTATATAGCACATTTCATACACAATGGTAATTCAAAGTGCTTTACATAAAATAAAATAAAAAAAAATAATCACAACAATAAAACAAGGAATTTAAAAACGTAGAAAATGATTTTTTTAAAATTATTTTGTAAGGAGAAAGAGTGTGAACGTTGCTGCTTTTAGTCTTTAATTCTATTTAGAGAGTCAGTTTGCAGAGGGATTTACCAGAGCAGGAAAGTTTCATCAGAGGTAATAGTTTAATAATTATGTTAAAGTTTTTTTGTATTTTTTGTTTTACATTGTTATTGATGAGAGACAATCAGAAGTTATTAAGAATAATTGACAGTGTATTCAACTCTCAGTGAAACGATCAGTCAAATCTGAAGCCTGCACTTCATCTTGGACTCGAGCAAAATCGCGAGATAAAAATGACAGATATTTCTGCCCTCCTCTAAGCTCTGCCAGGCTAAATTTAGCCCAGTGGGACTGATGGGAGAATCACACAGGGGACTACAGATGTCGTGCACACGCTAGCGTGTGACAGACCAGCTTCTGTGAGTGTGTAACAGTTTCTTCTGAAGCCGCAACAAAAGGTGTGAAAATACAGGTGTTAAAAAAGGAAACACACATAAGTTACAGGGAGCTCTCGCTTGCCGCAGAGACTGAAGAGATGATTCAGAGATCTCAAACTGCTGGTTCTCATGGCAACAAGTTCTACTTATGTTGTCTTTGTGATATTTGGGCAAAGATGGAAAGGTGAATGTGTTTGCTTCCAGCAGTTAGAGAAGAAAGATCTGGTTTTCTTAGATACCTGCTTAAAACCTGTCCACCATATCAAGCATTACACCTGCTCGGTAATGAATATCCGAGCGCTTTGAACTTTGATAATAAGAAGAAATGTTTCTTGAGCAGCAAATCAGCTATTAGAATCATTTCTATAGGATCATGTGACACTAAAGACTGGAGTAATGACTGCTGAAAATTCAGCTTCATCATCACAGGATTAAATTCCATTTTAAATATATTAAAATATAAAACATTTTAAACTATAATAATATTTTACAATATTACAGTATTTACTTTGTTTTTAAATAAATGCAGCCTTTATGGGCATAAGAGGCTTCTTTTTAAAAACATTAAAAAATTTTAAAGATCCAAAACAGTTAAACAGCAGTGTATTTGTACTATAGCATGGCTAGAACTCTATATTGACCAATCAGCATTCAGGACTATAACGATTACTGCATTGCTACTTCCCTGCTAAATACTGTACGAAAAAGAAGCACATTAAATGAGTAGTACAAGACGTTATTTCTTTAGATTCAGTCAGAATCACATCAATAGCAAATACAAGCTCCAGAATGTTTTGCGTTTCTGTGGAAGGATTGGCTCTTAGAACAGGAGCATTGTGTTCAACTTCTGACCCATAACAAAAGTTACATTTGGTTGTTAAGTGTGCTTGGTTTTAATCTGTTTAATGCATATACTGCGTGCTCACAAAACACTTTCCTAATGAAGCTGTACTTTGTAAATGACTTGCTGAAAACATTTTAAACTATAATAATATTTTACAATATTACAGTATTTACTTTGTTTTTAAATAAATGCAGCCTTTATGGGCATAAGAGGCTTCTTTTTAAAAACATTAAAAAAATTTAAAGATCCAAAACAGTTAAACAGCAGTGTATTTGTACTATAGCATGGCTAGAACTCTGTATTGACCAATCAGCATTCAGGACTATAACGATTACTGCATTGCTACTTCCCTGCTAAATACTGTACGAAAAAGAAGCACATTAAATGAGTAGTACAAGACGTTATTTCTTTAGATTCAGTCAGAATCACATCAATAGCAAATACAAGCTCCAGAATGTTTTGCGTTTCTGTGGAAGGATTGGCTCTTAGAACAGGAGCATTGTGTTCAACTTCTGACCCATAACAAAAGTTACATTTGGTTGTTAAGTGTGCTTGGTTTTAATCTGTTTAATGCATATACTGCGTGCTCACAAAACACTTTCCTAATGAAGCTGTACTTTGTAAATGACTTGCTCCTAGAGAACGGAGGGACTAATTTGTAGGTTTGAATGGTAGTTGTACAGTTTTATATCTGGATGATTGTGAGATGCATGTCGGGGCCGGTAACCAAAAGGTTTGAACCCTGCAAGGGGTGATCCTTGAGCAAGACACTTAACATTAGGTTGCTCCAAGTTACCACTGTAAATTAAGATGGTACACATCTGTAGTGACGGTGTAGAAATAAATTCATCTCCCTTATGTAGAGTGATGATAATTTCACTAGGTTTCGCCATTTTACATGGATATACTCTACCACATGCCAAACTAAACCTGCAATTTAAAAGTTGTAACCTTCATGCACTTCTCCATTTCACTGCTATAATTCTAAAAGTTTACTAACGTGGTGAAGGCTCATAGCTCACTGTGTGTGTGGTCATTATATTACAGCACTTCTGATAACATGACTATTTGTACTGCCTTAGCCAACAGCAATAATTAACCCAGTACAGTGTATGTGTGCACACAGATGGTTAGGGTTAGATAAGTTGACAACGGGTGCTGTGAGAGGTAGACAGGTGTAAACTGATGGCCTCAAGGTTATTTTCTCTTCATGGAAAATGCATGATGAATACAGTCAAGAAAAAACTTGAAAAGAGAATTTTAGAATTTCAGACCTGTAAAAGTCACAATTATGGAAATGAATAAAATGAATGGAAATTTCTGATAGAGTTTGGATTCCATTGTCGCCTTCTGGCTTGCTTGGTTGGGTTCTGAGAGACACTTAACTTTAAGTAATGTATCTGTATGACCACACTGACTGACAAAACCTGTACTGAATTAAGCTGGATGATGGCATTATTGTTTTCTGTAGAACTGCTTAATAGCTGAATCACAGTTTGCAACATTGACACAAATTGAACATAAACTGATTTTAGATGTATAACAACATTGCCACCTATTGTAGAACTGCCCATAGCTGATCGATTAGCTTCACACTGTTATTGATCTGAGCTAACTTACGCTAAATAATGACACTATTGTCTTTGAGAGCTGCTTTACAGCAGAATCTGAACTGTCTCCTAAGCAGAGTTTTCATAATTGCTTATGTTTATCTCTTTGAACCCGCTTTGACACAATCTGTATTGTATAAAGCACTATAGAAATAAATGTGTCTAAAATGAGCGACCACATGCCCGAGGTTAGTAATTTGCAGAAAACATGCCCATATATCTCCATAAGGGCTTTCCGCACAACTTTTCCTTTACAGCCTTTCGTCTCCAAAGACACTCTTGCCAGAGAGCATTTGATTCTCAAGCAATTCCACTTGTGCCATCCTTAAAAGCAGTTCAAACACAGTTATCAACTTTTATACAGACCCAGATTAGCCAGTTATACATATCTAAATTTTTATGCAAACGAACCTTGGAGCTCGAGCAATGACGCATCTTTTCTCACTCTTTTACCATGATGAAATATATTAAGATGAAATATTTATTTATAAAATGTTATCTTATCATGTTTATAAAGCCACCCAGAGTATGTGTTTCTAAATTTTTTCGTAATTTAGAAACATTTTTGTACCAAGGTTTTTGATTAATCATGATTTATGAAAATGTTCGTAGGCATATTTCACGTACAGTTAGTGAATAAGACCCACTGTGTTATTTTCTTTTAGATGAGTTAATGGCCAATGCTGCTACTACATAGTAAGTGTAACAAATACTAAACAGCTGCTAATTTGAGATGGCTATGTAAACAATGTTTTACAGAGCAGAATTACTGAACTAAAATAGAACAAGTGTAGAGAGACTTGCAACCTGTGATTGTGTAGATTTGATGCTGACTAATCAGGTTCATGCTGTAATTTCTCATTGCAAGATTTGTGTACTTAAGAAGTGACATGGTTCTTGTTCTGATCACTTTCCTATTTGTTTTTGTCCCTCTGTTCAGTGGTAGATCTGTTACATTGGAGGGATTTAAAGCAGTCTGGACTGGTTTTCGGCAGCGTGTTGCTGCTGCTGTTCTCTTTAACCCAGTTCAGCGTGGTGAGTGTTATAGCATATCTTGCTCTGGCTGTCCTCTCCGCCACCATCAGTTTCCGAGTCTACAAATCAGTCCTGCAGGCTGTGCAAAAAACTGACGAGGGCCACCCCTTCAAGTTAGTCCAACACTCAGTTTATGTCTTTCACTTCTGTGCGTATTGAGCAATGAATCTGTTCATTCACTCTCATGGCTTCTCTCTTTTTTAGGGCCTATCTAGAGGTGGAGATTGCTCTCTCTGCAGATCAGATCATTAAGTATGTGGATAAGACTCAGCTGTACATCAACTCCACCATGAAGGAGCTTCGCAGGCTGTTCCTGGTTCAGGATATGGTTGACTCCATAAAGGTGAAAACACGCTAGCTGATGAACATTTCTTTCCCTAATTTTCTATGATACTATTGCAATTTCAATTTGAAAGCCAAACTCGAGATAACCTTTAGTATTAATGGTGCACTCACTAATTTTGTTCCACTGGTTGATACAACAGTGGTCTTGGACTTCATACTGAAACCTATTGGCATGGAGTGTTGAACAAAACATAATTTCAGTTACAGATGCCTTGGTAGAAATAACTGTTTTTGGAACCAATAATTTTCGAGCTTGCATTCAGCTCGTCATGTGATCTCAAACCATGAGTGGCGCCCACCCAATGTATACAATGTAAAACAGCAGTGATATGACTACAGTCATCATCTCATGTAGGTTTACATAATTTGTTAAGATATTTAAGTGCTGTTCATTTTGTTAGACAGTGGGAAAAGTTACTGAGTGCTCCTGTAAAGGATTTAAAAGCTGTGAAGATAATTTGACATATATGTGTGTGTTTAGTTTGCAGTGTTGATGTGGTTGTTGACCTATGTTGGAGCTCTGTTTAATGGCCTGACCTTGTTGATTCTGGGTAAGAAAACAGCACAAACATAGACTACCATTCAAAAGTTTAGGGTCGGTAAGATTTTAAAATTATTCGTAAAAAAAGTCCCTTAGCATCACCAAGGCTGCATTTATTTGTTCAAATATACAGAGAAAAAAAACAGTAATATTTGGAAATAGAGCTGGTTAATGTTTTGGAATTTTAAATGAAAAGTTTGATAAGCTATAACCTATATCAGTGCTGATTCTTAGTAAAGAAATAATTTTTTAAGAAATGTTCAGCAGTTTCTATTGTGTTGTGTGTTTGCTGTCTGATTTCCTTCCATATCTTAAGTACACACTCAATAATTCCATGTCACAAACACACACACTGCTGTAGGTCAGGGTGTGATAACCTCAAACAACTGAAATCAAATGACACCACACAGCATTCTGGGAGAGCAGCGCAGTTGTCCTGACTGTATCTCTCCTTGATCTTTCTCTCTTTAGTGGTGGTTTCCATGTTTAGTGTGCCAGTGGTTTACGAGAAGTACCAGGTAATGTTTTCCCAGTCCCCACAATTATCTTTTTTTAAGGTTCATGTTTTGCCACATTATCAGAACCTAGGATGTCGATTCCTATACCAGTGAAATTTCATGATACTCGATACCAATTTTGAGCAATAACTAATATACTATTAAACATACACCTTTATTTTTTATTTTTTTAAATTTGCATTAAATGAAAACTTTTGAAATTATTCTTTTAATTCTGAATTAAGTAAACAATTCAATTAATTATTCAAGTACAGTTAGTTAAAAAAAGAAAAAGAAACAAATAAAAGTAGTGAATTATGAAAGCTTGTCTCCACCACAGGAATAATAAAAAAAATATATTTTTTTTTTTCTCACAATTATTTTGTCGCAATTCAGAATTGATATAAACTTATATAGATATAAACCTTTTCTCTGAATTCTGAGTTTATATCTTGCAAGTCTTTTTGTTTCTTCCAGAGAATAAAAAGGTCATCTGAATTGTGACCTAAAAATTTGCTGTCACCTTTTTTCTTTTTCTTTTTCTTTTTTTTTTTACATCCCATGTCGGAAACAAGCTTCCATAGTGAATGGCTTTCTTTTGGTATTGTTGTTTTTGTTTAAGTATCGATTCTTTTGGCATCAATATTGTGTATGGTGAATCCTCACACTCGTTTTCTCCCTTTCAGACACAGATTGATCAGTACTTAGGACTGGTGCGCACCCAGTTTAACTCGATAATGGGAAAGTGAGTTCTGTATAAATATTATTAAAATTTCAATTTTATTTATTTATATTTTTTAAATATAATTAACCTGCTTAATTTTCTGTTTGATTTTCAGGATTAGAGAAAAGGTTCCTGGGGCCAAAAAGAAGGAATAAACTCTTTGCTTCTGTACAAGTAAACACTATAGCCAGTAAAATCTACAACTTTGCCAGCACTGAAGGACCCCAACTATACAGGAGGCCAATGTCACCTTAAAAACTAATAAAAAAAAAAAGCATAAACAAAAAAAGATCATGTTAGTATAATGGCACCAATAAAACCCCCCACTGTTGACAGTCACAGGTGAATTCCTGCATAACTAACACAGATTCACATAAATAACACCTTGTGGGCAATCGTAGAGCTATAGATATACCAGAGGGACACACGGTGATTCTCTCTTCCATTGCTTCTGATTTAAGTGCATGAAGTCCAGTCTTGAGTAAATATTTGCTATCTCTGCAGTGCTCTTCCTCTCTCTGCTTTACTTTGCAGTGCATATTTCCTGCTGTAAAATGTAACACGAAAATGAAAATCATGCCTGTCATATAATCTCCTGCTGCCATGTCGAATAATCGCTTCAATTCACCGTCACTGGTAGAGTGGTTCTGTGTACAGACATACTTATTAATATCAAGTTGAATTGTGGATTGTTTTTTTGTTTTTGTTCTTTTCTGTGTATTTGAGCACATTGATAATTTGAAGATGTTATTACTAAATGTGTAACTGTAATTTTTGCAGAACTGTAGGGATACGTGTAGGTGTTTAAAGACAAGCTTTGTGGTCCTTCTCTAGGGCACCTGATTGTCAGACTGCAGAGCTCCAGCTGTACTAAACTCTGTCCAACTTTGTACGACGTTCAGTGTTCAGTTATTTTAAAGTCTTTAACTATTTGCACTCTGTATTTAATTAACGAATGGGAAAAATAAATGTTCCTTAATGTAGGAGGGTTGGTGTCTTGTCGTTCATAGCAAAATGAACTAAGAGAAGGTCATTATGGGACAGACAAATGGCATTATGAAAAATTATTCTGCAAAGCATTAAAGACACATAAGGCTGTGATTTATTTTGCAAGTTATGCCAGTTTGAGTTTGATGAGCAAAATGCAAATCCCCCTAAATGATGTCCTATAGCTATTCAATAAAGTATCAGAGCTTAATGTAAAATGAATGTAACGTTAGCAAACAGATAAGTGGTGACAGATGTTCCAAATTCTGACATACATCGGAGTTAAACAGATTATCTAAAAAGAAAACATATGTAGGACTTTGTTCTGTTCATTGGTTGTTAATTGGATGGAGACAGATTTGAATGTGAGCTTGCAGACAATTGTAACAAAGGGGTTGGTTTAAACAGACTAAATGATCGAAGAAGCCTGATATACGTCACCAAAGAAAAGTCTTTTGTTTCAATGGAATTATGGAAGTCAAAATGTTTTATTCAAATAAAATGTATGCATGGATGCATCATTCACAAACAGATCAATAACGTGGGTTTATAAGTGTGATAGGGTGAATTTCCATTTCATGCCGACTTGAGAAATGAGATTTGAGCTAAAAGTGGAGAAAAAGATTATAAGCATGTAACGTTTTAAAATATGTTTTTTTTTTGTATACACATTTTTTTGGTCTGTTCCTCACATAAAGCTATCATACAGCTTCAGACAGCTTGGAATATAGTGCACAAATGTTAAAATGTTAGTACCCATACTAATGGGTAAACTACTTTCAACCTGGTTAGAGACAGCAAAGTAATTTCTGAAAGAAAAAAAAGTCCAGGAATTTGAACAAATTATTTACTGTACACATTCAACAACAGCAAGAACCTGGTCAACTCAGCTTACAGCTAATTTAAAAAACAACAACAACATTGTTTTAAAACATAACATAAAAATTAGAAGTGTTCCTTAAAAAACAAAAAAGCGCAGTAGAATAATATTTTTCCAACACATATTGATGAACCCTGCATTGTGCAACTGAAATTTTCTTTCTCGAGTAACAAAAATGACTGACAAAACTAAAATACTGCACATTTCATAGAAGTAACATTCAAGCATTTCCATCATCACCTACTTTCTTCTAATAAAATTGAATACCCCACAACATCTCTTATGCAATTCTAGGAGACACTTCTCTTGTGTATGATGTGCTTCACACGTTCAGTAAGGTGATTGCCCTCTCAATGCCAACAGCCCTGCAAACAAAACTAAACTCACAACACTCACCACATCCTTTCCTGGAATGCAACTTGTCTGTTCTGTGAGATGGACAGGCATGTCTTACCTAAAGTGGCTGATCATGCTCATGCTGTGAAAGCTGAACATTTGTGGACTGCTGGGACTATAAACTAAAGCCTGCAGAGTGACAGAACAGAACAAGACCCAGAGGAAATACACATCACAGTTTATACAGCACAGTTCAAATGCAGACTTGGGGGAGCTGCTGCTGGAGGCACAAAAGTGCTGAAGGAGCTCGTTGATGAGCTGCTCGTCTTCTTCCATCCTGCTGTTCAGGGTACCACCAGCAGAACTAGGGGTGAATCTGCCACTGGCCATATCCTCATACAGAGACATCAGAACCTCATGGGATTGCTGCAGATAGACAAAAAAGAGAAGCATGGACATTGAACTGGCTGATTTCAGGTCAGGATGTTTTGAACTAATGTTAAAATATTGTCTCAAATCTATGGAAAGTTGATTCCACCAAGGCTGAGATATAAACTCACAATTCTAACCAAAAAAAAAGTCAAAATTGTGAGATATAAACTCACAACTGGGAGATAAAAGCAGCTGGGAGAAAAGTACTAAAGTTGCAATTACCTTTGTTTTACTTTGTGTCAGAAATAAGCTTCTATACTTTTCCTAGTTGAATGAACTATAAATCATTTTAAACTTAAATATAAATGTATAAATAATATATATTAATATATAAATAAAGATTCATAAATATTTTAGTGCATATTTCAGGAGTTACTCGTTGTTGCCAAGCAACAGAAGACTATGAAATGTTAAAAAACTGAATTAAAATAATGTCAAGAAAACTTGTCAGGTAGACATTACTATGGTGTTGCCAAGGTTACCTGACTCTCAAAGCTTTCAGGGATGTGGCAGGCATGTCCCTCCTGCACCAGGAGGTCCGCCACGCTGACATCGCCTGTGTAAGCTGTATCTGCATGACACCGTGCAGAATTGAGTAGAGGGACACGATGGCAGAGCGACCGCTTGTGAGAGTCTTAAATTGGTTACATGCCCGACTGCTCCAACGACCACCCAGAATCAGCGACTGCGCAGACGGACCCATGCCTGCGATGCAAAACTCCTGTGCCTGCAATGAAACATGCAGATACAGCTTATGGCTCACTGAAATTCATAAAAAAAATCCAGCTGTAATAGATAGCTGGGAGATATACCATTTATTCATGACTTTGTTGGCAACAAATTTAAACAGCTTCACAAATATTGCAATGATTTTAATGAACTTTTTATTTGGATATTAATTTGCTGAAATATGTCTGCCATGAGATTTATTTTCTGAGCGAATATTTGAGTGTTAAGACTACAGGCCCAGTCACACAAAGAAAGAACGATAACTATAATTAAAGTTTTAATAATTGTTTTAATTCTATGAGAATAGTGTCGTCCACAACACAATTGTAACAATGATTGTGGAATGATCATTGGAATCACTTTCAGAACAATTTTTAAAAACACTGACAGTGTTAAAATATGATTTTTTTATATGATTAATCTTTAAACATACGACAAACAAAGATACACAGCATTTCATGTATAGCTGATCTCACAAAATTATAAAAATATTAAATATACAGTACTGTTCAAAAGTTTGCGGTCAGTAAGTTTTTGTTTTTAAAAAAAGAAAAACTAACTTTTCTGTTTAGCAAGGATGTATTACATTGATCTGAAGTGACAGTTATAATGTCACAACAAAAAAATCTAATCAAATCAAATAAAAAAAATTATATTCATTAAAGAATCCTGGAAAAAAAATATCACAGATTTCACAACAGTATTAAGCAGCACAACTGTTTTCAACCTTGAACATAAAAAAAGGTTTCTTTAGCACCAAATCAGTATATTAGAATGATTTCTGAAGAATCATGTGACACCAACGACTGGAGTAATGGCCGCTGAAAATTTTTACTGTATTTTGATCAAATTCATGCAGCTATGGTGAGGCTTCTTTCAAAAATATTTTTAAAATCTTAACCAAAAATTTTGAACGGTAGTGACTGAACTCATTGTGATTTCTGACCTTTGATCTTTAGCCTCCATTTCATCAAAGCTCTGGATGAGAGAGACGGCAACATTGTTCATCTCCTCTGTGATACAAGGGTCTACTGGGAGGGTTGAGTCCACCTGACACATACACACAAACATATTTGTATAAAGAATTTAAATAGAAATGTCAAAATATATCATTTTTGATGCTTCCCATACATTGACTCCAAGAGGCAGGATGGTTTTGAGCTCATCCAGGTAGAACTCTTCAATGGCGTATGGGGCTCCTTCCACCTCAAACAAGTTTGCTGGATTCATCTAATTGCGGATCGGAGTTCCAAAATACTCTGCAAACTCTGCACAGTTTATGGTGGCTGACATCAGAATGACCTACAGGAAGAGAGGTAAGAGAAAAAGAGGTAAGAATTACAGTGTAAACTCGGATTGTGTGAATTAAAGTATGAGTGTTGCACAAACCTTGACATATCTGGAATTGCTCCGCAGTAGTTTTCTGACAACCAGCAATAGGAAGTCAATGTTCTCTCATGGACCTAAACCAGGTTATAATGCAAACAATTAGATCTACATGCCATTGTTTTCATTTAAATTTATATTTATTTTAAAATTGAACTTTTTCATAATAGCATGTGTGCATGTGAATACTATTTCTATAAATGTACACTATCGTTTAAAAGTTTAGGGTCAGTGAGATTTGTAATACATTTATACTTTTATTCAGCAAGGATGCATTAAATTGATCATAGTCTTTTAAGTATTTTACATTGTTACATAAAATGTCTATTTCAAATAAATGTTGTTCTTTTGAACGGTCTATTCATCAAAAAATCCTGAAAAATGTATCATGGTTTCCACAAAAATATTAAACAGCACAATTGTTTTCAACATAATAAGAAATGATATTGAGAAATGTTTCTTGAGCAGCAAATCAGCATATTTGAATGATTTCTGAAGGATCACGTGACACAGATGACTAGAGTAATGGCTGCTGAAAATTCAGCTTTGGCATCACATAAATAAATAATATCTGAAAGTATTTAAAAATAGAAACACTTTTTTATTTTATATTGTAATATTTTACAATATTACTGTTTTACTGTATTTTTGATCAAATAAATGTGGTTTAAATGTGGCAGTAGTGTATGTCTATAAATTGCAGATGTATGTGTATCTACATCATCTATGAAGATGTGCGAGTACTCTGTGAGGGTTTTGGCTGCCACTAATGTCTGCAGTAAGACTCCAGTGGTCACATAAATCAGCTTGGTGTGCTCTGTGGCCATCTTCTCTAAACCCACCTGGGGAGAGAGAGAGAAAGATTTTAAATAAATGTATACAGTATTTAGTGAAATCTGCATATTATTAGGTTTAGTTTAGTGGGAAGGGAATAATGAGGAATTTATTTTAGCTCCAATGTTCACAACAACGATGCATAGAACCAAGTCCCTGCCCTATATTCTTTTCTTTTTTTTAAAAAAATCCACATTTGGGATATATGTCACAATATGAGGACTGTCACTATTACAGTTTTATTCCAGTGACTTTATGAGGTAGGCAATAACGGTGAAAAATGTTCAGCTTTTTGTTGGCAGGACTTTTAGGTATGAGTTCTTCCAAAACTGATTTTCAAAAAAGAACCAACCCTGAGAACAAGCCTCTCTAGCTCAGCCTCGAACACGGCTGAAGTCAA